TTTTAAAATTCAGGTGCAATCAACGGTGAAGCGAAAGAAAAAATAATAATTACTGGCAGTACGTATTAAGGTGCATCAACTAAATTCCTAATCAACCACCCTGTAGGGGTGAAGTTATGTAGTTGTGCTAAATTTCTTCATACAATCTACAAGATGAGCGCAAGTTTCATGCAATAAACCAATTATCAGACATCAATAGAGCTTCAGGAAACCCAAATCTCTTCCTCCTCCTTTTCCCATCCGTACCTTCTTTCTATTTTTCTTCCTTCCTTCTGGGTGAACCCCCCCCCCCCNGGGGGGGGGGGGGGGGGGGGAGGGAGGAGGCGTACGCCTTCCCTGGATCCGTCTGAGTATGCCTTAAAGTTGGCAGAAGCATTACTAGGGGAGGAATGGAGGAAATGTCCACAGTATTATAAAGTTAAGTTGGAATCGATTATTAGGGATTTCATTGGTTTGGGGGCGTATAAAGGGATGTTTTGAAGTTCCCTCTTTCTCCCTGCAAGAAAAGTTTGTCTCGTTCGAACACATACGCCGCCCCCCTTAGCAGCTGAAATGACGTCAGTAGGAACTTGAAAAAGATGCCGCGCCGTTGATGATCAGTGTCCAAAAAATCGAAGAAATTTGGGTTCCCTAAATTGATGGAGTGTCTAGACTTGGGTAAAGTGTGATAAAATGTTTGACTGACGGCCTGCCAAGAGGTGGTTGTGGTGTAAACTTTGCACCATTATTGGAATGCCCCCAGCAGCTCGATTCTTGACAGTTTCTTAAGTTTTAAGTCAGTGAAACCTTCGGGGCTGATGATAGGGCTAACAGACAGAATAGGTCTAAGTATTTGGGAGGACTACTAGAAGTGACTGGGGGAGAGAAAAATGTGCTCCTTGGGACAAAACTATAGCCAACCAATCACGCGTAGGCTTGTTGTCTCACCACCCGTGACGTCAGCAAGACTATATAAGCATGGGTTGCCCTAAAATCTAGGTCCTTTTTCCATCTTCGACCCGTACTGGTGCGTAGCGCCCTTTTTCGCCCTTTTGGCACATTTCAAAGGGACTATTCTTAAATCTTGTAAATCTGTAATTCTCTCTCTTTCGGTCAGTACAATCTCTCTAAATTTCCATCTCAAAATTTCGTATCTTTATTTCCATCACCAGTAGTAGTTCATTGGATCTACTTTATCAAAACCCAACTGGTGCTGAACGGTTCTCTCAACGCTTCTTTTGACACATGGTCAAGAACAATTTTCACGCTTAAAAGCATAATCAAACTGGGACAAAATTAATAATCTGGAGTTTCAAATTTAGAACTTAAAGTTTGTGGAAAAATTTGCTCTCATTATTTGAGGTCAAAATAGAGGAGCCGAAACGATACAGCAGTGGGGACTAATAACCTTGTCACTACTGCCCTTATTACACCATTTGATTGATAGGGGAAAAAATTCAACAAGTGGATTTAACATTGAACATTGTTAAATAGAATAAAAAGAGCACTCAAGGACCAGATGTACAAACAGCCAATTACAGTTCTTCGAATTCAGAGCTTGCCGAGCATAACGACGGTGAAACTGCCAGACCGCTAATCTCGGTTTGTGACGCATCAGACTTCCGATCATACATTATTTTTAAGATGAAAAACTACTCAGCGTCAATGCTTGAAAACTGCTGTGATTTTTATTCTCAGGGGGAAGAAAAAGCTGTACAAACTTCAAGGAACGGTATTGGTTTGTTCTCCTGGTCACAAAAATAAAATGAGAGCTGAGATTTTTAAACACCGCAATCAAGATACGTGGTTTGGTAGTTACACCGCTGATATGTGTTGCTTTCACTGAGAATGCGAGAAACTTGCAAACATTGGCCTTCAAATTGAAGAGTGATGACCATGCAAACTGTGCAGAGTGTCTGTAAAGCTGAGAAGAACAAAATAAAGCAATACTCGAAAAAACTAAACAAACGAGGGTGCTTGAAGACTTTGACTGAATGACTAAGGTCAGAATCGAAAGCGAGATGAAAAACATTTATCACGAGGCTAGCCTCAAGGATAAGTAACCTACTGAGGAATTTAGCTGACACAAGAGACAGTCCAATAAGAAATCATAAGATACTGCCAAGAGCTGGTTGCTTGAGAAAGTCTCAAAATCACAACGAGAATTCTATGAAATGATTGGGAAGCGGGATGAAGACGGAGTTCTAGTTACATGTTACACAGCTGAGCAATGAGGAGAGGGTGGCAGAGTAGAAAGAGAGGTTATGTTCTCAGCAAACTACACAAAACGAAGCCTACTCGAATAAGTAAAAGCGTTGTAAAAGTATTAAGCAAGACGACTTGACAAAAATGGAAACCCCGGGCCGATCTGAATCGTTCCTTAGTTTGAAGTATAAACTTGGGTAAAAGTAAACAACAGAGATAACATACTCTCAATGCCTGGCCCGAAGACAACCTTCAACTCGATTTGCTGAACTTATAGACGAGTGAATCTGGAAAGATCAGACACTGCTCGAGAAAAATCTGATGACGAGGAATGAATCAAAAGACAAAAGCAAACAGGATGATGCTATAAAATTAAACACGGTAAACTCATTAAAAATACAGTATCACTTGAGGATCATTACATTCAACTGACCAGTTGGTGTGAGGCATTTCACGACTTTGACCTGATTCGGAGGAATTGAGAAGAAGCCCGCTGTAATTGTGCGGAACGCATTAGCTTAAAAATTAAGGTGCATGCATATAAACGTAATTAGTCAACAATTACCTTCTTATCCTTAGAAATTGTTAATCCAGCCAGCTCTTTGGCAGTCGGTTGCACAGATTATAATCACAAATCACTCCGGACACAGAATTTAATTAATCTAGGTTCTAGGATTGAACTAGAATACATTCACATTCACGGGGGTGGTTGAATCACTAGGGTCACGTATGCATACAAATAATTTGTTGAATATCTTCTAAATGTGATAAAATATTATCAAATTCGGTTGGCGGTTGACTACGCCTTGCGCTGCGGAGCTCAAGCCTAGGGTGCGGCTTCCGTCTTTTGAACTTTGCGAACCCCGTAGACTTTTGCTGACGTCATGAAATGCCGCGCAAGGCTTGAGACTTCAACAGGATTCAAAAAATTCCCGCGTATTTTAGAAAAAAACGCATTAGTTACCTCAGAATCCTGATTAAGAAACAAAATAATAAAAATTCCTCAGGTAGACCCGAAATAGGTCAACTATGCGGACTAGGTTAAAATATTCCTAAGAAGTCCCAGAGAGTTATGCATTGAATTTACTTGTTATTTTAAAGTGAAATTTCATCCCCTCCGCACACATGGAAGTTTTGACTGTTCCATAGGAATTTGAGTGCCTAATTTCTTTTCAACAGATCTGTTTAATGCAACAAATACACTGTGTGCTGCGACCTTCCTTGATAAAACTAGGGACTTTCGAAGGAGAACAGAGTCTTCACCTGGAGTCATAAAACACCCCCCCCCCCCTCCACATGAACGAGCACACTTTAAATTAATTCTGTTGCTCTGATGAGAAAAAAATTAGAAATTTGTGTGATATTCTGTCTTTTAATGAAGACATTCTAGATACTTGCAAGTAGAATGCACAAGGACACGGAAATAATGCAGAATTTGGAGGTGTACGAACATTGATAGAGATGACTTTGACTTGAAAATTTGATGAGAAAAATATGACAAGATGGAAGGTGTGCTGACAAATCATGATTTTATATCCTGGTATGATCGATGATAATATGGACGGATTTTAAATTTTTAAATACTTGTCACGAGCAGAAAAATTTTTCCGAGAAAATTCTCCATTGATCAATCCCATAGGAAATGAGGGAAACATAAATACCAACTGTAAAAATAATGATGATAAGAGTTTATTTCAAAATATATCTTCAACAATAATAAGTATCATAGTCGTTCAGAAAGCAGTATCTTCTACTTCCTTTTCTTCTCCAACTTTTGAAAATATGGTGAGCATATAGACTGAATAATTAAGATAGACTTAATAATATCAACTTACTGAGGGAGGGAGCTCCAGATGTTAGCCACTCAAATTAAAATTAACAACTGATATTTGATTGAATTTTGTATTTGTTTGTTTTTGTATTTGAGATGTATTTGTCCTGCCGAATGAGCTGTGCTCAATGGTACGACTAAATGTCACATGTCACTCTATTGTCTTTTCTTGTAAACATTTTTTTCTTTTGAATAAAAAAAAAAAAAAAAAAAAAAAAANAAAAAAAAAAAAAAAAAAAAAAAAAAAATTAAACCATTCTCATTTCTTCCAAAATACCTACGAGAGATCATGATTTTCCACCACAGGAAGTAGTCCAGGTGGGTAGTGGAATTTCAAGAATTTAGATTTTACCTACTCATTTTGTTGTTTTTCACAAATTTAATGGCCTCTCTGAGTATAGCTTGGATTATTAAACCTATATTTTAACTTCCTGCCACTTGCTGACAGGGAAAAGCTACAATTTTCAAAAATGACTCCCAATGATGTTCAAATACAGTATTTCGTGAAAGTTGTGTCCTTGAATGAAATTATTTATTTTTGAGGGCAACAATACAAAACTACGAAGTTCAATACAACTCTCATGGCAAATAATTTAATATTATATATCGACCGTGTAAGTCGGCAATCACATAACTCGGTTTGTGACGTCACAGACTTCCTGTCATACTTTATTTTTTAAACGGAAAACTACTCAACGGAAATTCTTTAAAATTGCCGTGATTTTTCTTCTCTGTGCGAAGAAAATTCTGCAAAAACTTCAAGGAATGATTTAAATTTGTTCTCCTTTAAAAAAATAACATAGAGGCGGAGATTTTCAGACCCGCAAACGAGATATTTGATAGCCGACTTACACCGTCGATATTTGGATACATAGGGAGCTACTTTTTCTTCGCAAGTTTCTTATCCGTACCCTTGTACTATCAGAGGATGCCATCACAATTTTTGGCAATACATAATTCAGAGAAAAAGCACAGCCTTAATTTCTGACAGGCTAACATATTCGGGGTTTAATATTCACAAGTTATACAATTTTTGCATGTTAACATTAAGAGAAAAAAGGAAAAAAGAGAAATGAAAAAAGGCTCTTCTTGGAATACATTTTGATAAATGGAAATCGTTAAAACATTCATTAATATTACACTTTTTCATGCTGAAAATCAATGTTCGGAAATAAATTAACATTCAGAATTTCTTAAGAGAACAAATTAGAAGTCAAATCTCAAGTTGGAGGACCTTATAGTTATATAAGGAAAATAAAACGCAACAAAGTTATGCTTCTAACTTTCATGCGGCATGAAAAAAGTTTTCCTTTTTTTTACTGCAACAGTTACATGACCAGATATGATAAGCTTCCATAACAGTGCATTCTCATTTATATTACACAGTGTGCACTAATTTTAATGACTTTATTTTCAGTAAAGAATTTTAACGTTATAGATCTTCTCATTCAGAGGTAAAAAACCCTGGGAGCTCCTTTTATTCCAATCGGCAAAAACTTTAGGGTTCATAACTTTTCTAAGCTAACTATTGTAAGAGCTGCGAGATGTAAGTCACCACATACATTCTGATACTACACATGTATGTTGCAGGCAAACAGTCAAATGAGATATTCTAAGAGGCATGAACATAAGGTCAAATTTTGATAAGTAACAAAGTTTGGAGTGTTTTTGATGGAGAGTTCTCAAGTTTCCAACTTTCTAAAAGTGAGAATTCATCACCTGTAATAGCTGAGACAAAGATCTAGTACAAGTGGTCTGGATCTTCCTGTATTTTGACTGTCAAAAATTCTGTATTTTAGGACATGCTGCATTTTGAAATGAATGCTTGTTCAAGGACTAAAAATAACATATGTACTTTGGTACAATGCAAATTTTTACACAGATTCCTTTACCTACCTGTGCAAGGAAATACTTTTTATATAATTGGCAAAATAAAAAGAAATTCAATTCGTGGAAGAATATTTGTTTAGCTTTTTGCAATAGCGTTTGACTTAATGCCTACTTTGACTTTTTGCCAGTAGCATAAATGTGCCTACTATTCTTTGAAGAGAGGTCTTTTTTAACCTAGCTGTGATGAGAGATAACAACCAAGAATTAGGATCTTTCAAAAAAAAAATTAGCTTCTTCATTCTTAAAAATATATTGTTTCGACCTGATACAGGAATGTACTTGCAGTTCAGCCTTGATACATATTAATTCTTGAGAATTGAGGCAAAAAAATACGAAGCTTCGGCACTATATTTAAATGAACACCACGGATCCAAACAAACTTTTTAGGAAAAGCACGTTGGTAGATGATGTACTAGGATCAACCTTACTATACACCAGAGCAAAAATAAATCAAACTTATGAAATTTACTTCCATTTTAAGGTCAAAATCAATTGAGAAAAATAAGCTGACATACATCAGAGATTCGGAGATAGATCTGGCAGTACGCTTTAGAAAAATATGTAAACAATTTTATGTTCCTAGAAATTTGCAGTATGAGCACCATGGTACTGAGATTCTGAAGTATATCCAGATGACTCCTTTATCAGGTCATCTAACATCCTTTGCGTCTCAGGAATAATACAAAAATCATTGTCGTACTGTGATTTGTCAAGCGAAGCTACAGCAGCATCAGTTTCAATGTGGTCTTGCTCAGAATGTTCACTATCGCTTTCTTGAGCGCCATAATTTGCAAAATCGCTATTCTCCATGTTTGTTGTAGAGGTATTTGTTGTATTTTCATCTCTTTGTTGTTCTGCACCCAACTGCGAGACAAGGTCTTTTCCAAGTTTCTTCGATAACCGATTAAGATACAAGGTTGCTACGTGAGAACCCTTTTCTAGTCCTCGTTCTGTGAGTGGATTGATTTCAGTGCATACTTGTTTTACCCGATCCCTGTGAAAATGAGTTAAGGTTAATGGTAGAACAAAATAATGCTCAGCGATGTTACAGCTTCGAATTTTTCACACTACTTGCAAATGAAACCTAGCATGTGAAAATGGCAAAAAAGCTATTCATTTTAAATGGAACATCCGCCATTTTTACAGATTGGGCTCTATACATTGTATTCATGAAAATCAAAACCAAGAACAGTGTAATGCATTTTATTTAGAGACACAAATGAAAAAGGGGAGCTCATCTTTGTTCACAGAGGGTGTTACAATGATATATCGACAGTGTAAGTCCGCAATCACATAACTCGGTTTGCAACGTCGCAGACTTCCTGATATACTTTATTTTTTAAACGGTAAACTACTCAACGGCAATTCTTTAAAATTGCCGTGATTTTTCTTCTCTGTGTGAAGAAAATTCTGCAAAAACTTCAAGGAATGATTTCAATTTGTTATCCTTTAAAAAAATAACATAGAGGCGGAGATTTTCAGACACCGCAAACGAGTTATGTGATTGCCAACTTACACCGTTGATATGCATTCTTACTAAAAAGAATATGAAAGAATTAGAAGCTTTGAGGATTATTTACCCAGAGTAGGAACCCCAAAAACTGGTAATTGTTAAGGAGCTTTTGCACCTGCTCTCTCAAAATTGATCTTTAACAGTAATTGAAGAGCAGAATTGCTAGAATTTATGCATAGCTTATAAAAAAACTCTACAACATTCGACTGTAGCCACTTTTAACCTCGACAACATTTGACTGCGGCAACTTCCTTATAATACTGTTACAGGGAAGGATTGAATAAGCGGCAATTCATGAATTCATCTCTGAGATTTCTGGGTATATAGTTAAACAATGGGTTAGTTGGGCTGGTCACAGAATTGTGTTTTGATGCTTGATTCTTGTAAATTAACTAAAAATAATAATACGTGTCCAAACTGTAACTTTCTATGTTTAATATTAGTGTTGTTATTTATTATTTAATTATTGAAAGTTGGGTTTTGGACGTCATTCACCGCAGTAGTGACACCCTTAGTTTCTTCCATCTTGCTTCCATCCGAGTTTCACGCTGAAAAACCAGTGCAAATGTGCGTCACACCGAGTGATGAAAGTAAGGTGGAAAACCGAGGGTGTCACTACTGCAGTGGATGACGTCAAAAACTCGACTTCTTAAGGGGCGATATCTCTGCTAATACTAAACGTAGAAAGTTGCTGTTTGGACAGATCTTATTATTTTTAGCTAATCTACATGAATCAGGCATTAAAACATGATTCTGTGACCAGTGCAACTAACCCATTCACAAAAATAAATATTCCACTGTTTTGATACATGATAACACTTATTGTAAGGGTAAATATGACACTTAGTGCTGTAAATAAGGTCACTGCACTCAAGTCAAGAATATACCTGAATACGATCGTTTGGCTCTAAGCTATAGACCCTTTTAATTTAAATGGTCAAGCGAAAAACTAAAACTAAGAAACTTCATATGAGCTGTACCTTCTTCTCAAGGAGAAATTTTGTATATTATGTTGAGTGCGCACATGCTTGACTAGATTTCCTTGCGAGTTGCAAGCATAAGGACACTTGGGGCAAGGGAAAAGTTTACAATCCGCATGGGATGCCATGTGCCTGATTTGGTTGTCCCTGGTTTTTAATATCATCGGGCAAACATTGCAGGGGTATCTTCGCTCTCCATGAACATTCCTTAGGTGTGAACTGAGCGTCGTTTTTTGGTTAAACTTTTTGCCGCAGGCTTCGCAACTGCAAAAATGAAGAGTTAGTTAAACAAATATCCTTACATTTATTGTAGGTCAACAGCAAGCACAGGCAAGTTGCAAGTAGTATGCACGTCAACTCGTTAGATCGCATTAATTTGCATCGAAATAATATAAGTTTGATTATTTTTAAAGAACTTTAAAAACTCTGCCGAGAATGTTCCATGATACTCTTCAACCCAGAGAGTTTAGCTGCCTATTTAAACCTAATCCAACTAAGGTCACTGATTTCAATAGACGCGAGAGCTAGTTGATACTATGCATTCAAGAAGGAAAGAAAGGCTGCCTCGACTCCAAGCATAACAATAGGTTCTTTCAATCTTGTTTATTTCTGAATTTTTTAACACTCTATTCAACACAGATAAATTGCAATCTGTGGTAAGCTTTAACATCAAGAGCATGATTTTCTTCACATAAATATCTCAGGACAAACTGCTAAAAGGATTGTATCAGGTACCCATTCAGTTCACATGAGGACGTAGCTGTTTTAAAATGAATGTAAATATAACTTGTTGTAACAAGACCCCATAGGCTCCAGCAAAAGTACTGGTTACAAAAAGAAACCGTCGAATACATTGCCCAACACAGTAATCCTCTCTATCACTTTTCCTTCAAGTATCGTCCTAAAAGTTACCCAAGGATCAGCACCTATCTCTCGGACTTTTGAGCAAGGTGGGGTTGAAGTGGTAAAAAGAGACTTAGCTATGCATGCTACTATAGACTGATCTGATGGTATGCTACCTGTTTGACCAGTGGAGCAGAAAACAATTTTTTGGAAACATGAATATGAAAGGTTACAGGAAATAAGAAAAAAAAAATAGATGGAAATTTTCCTTCGATTTCTGATAAAAAAATTTTTAATCGAAGATTCAATTGAATCAGTTTCATGGGTGAAAACCAAATGAAAATCTGTTCTGGATATTTTTTATGTACGACTACATCTTTCTCTGCGGTTCTTTAAACTTGCAAAGCAAGCCTCAGATACAGCTGCAGACAACAGGGATAGATAACAGCTACGGATGACAGCTGTTCTTTTTTCCCCCTTGTTTTCCTACAATTCACCTTTAATGCTCCTTTGGTCTTAAAATTTTCTGGGTAGTTCATCGTACCACTAATGGCATACATTGATGAAAAAACTAGATAAACACTCTTGATTGAAGGGTTTTAGAATCTCTCTTTCTGTTAATAATTTGCAACAAATTTCCAGCAAATTAATATTGTTAAAACGGCAGAGGAAAATTACATGGGATTTTAAGCGATAACAATGCTTAATTATTTTTAAAAAAGTAAAATATGAAATAGATCTGCAACGTTAAAAATCTGGGTATTTAAGAGGGATATTTTTCCAAGATCACCATCAATGAGAAAATATCCAGGGGATTCTCATGTCCTACAGCATGAGGTCCATTTTGGGGGTTAAGCATATCAGACTAATGCTGGAGCCGAATACGAAAGTTGGGCGTAATGAAAAAACTCAATAGAGAAATGTAGTTCCAGACTCCAATTCGTTCAGACTGGAGATTCAGAGATAACCTCGTGTTTTTTGATGGTGTAATATAAAAGTATTCAATGGTTTTTGAAAGATGTAACAAACTAGAAAATAAATACAAAAAGGATACATGTAAACAAAAACTTGAAAGTCCTTAATTTTCACAGGAGTGCAAGTTTTTGAACTTGTGACTTTTGAGCTTCTGGCACTCACATAATGATAAAGTTCCACTTTTCAACTAATAATACTAAAAAAAAATGTAACTCACCTAAAAATCCTTTCGGGAAGATGGGTTGTGATGTGATTTCTGAGCTCGGAAGTTTGCCTAAAGAACTTACGGCAGACAGGACAAATGATCTGCTGTGGCTCTTTCCGTCTCACTGCATGTTTGTACCGAGTATGTGAGTCCAGTGTCCTTTGAGTGTAAGCGCTATAACTACACTGAAAACCGGGAAAAATTTTGTTAAAATTATGTACTTCTTTGAAGTACACATTAAAGCTAGGAGCTCAAAATTTTTGAAACTAAGACCCCTTCTAGCTGATAGAAAGAGAGGACAGCAGCAAAGGTGCATTCGTCACATTCTTGCAAGTGGATGTGATTAACTTTTTGAAACAAATCAAAAATTCAATTCTATTTGTTGGTGTCTCCTAGTTATTGATTTCATAGATCTATTTCGTGACAATCTGCAATGCGGAATTAGGGCGGGATTCTTCCTAGCAAACGCCTTCTCCATTTTGACATGGATGAAGAGCTAGATTATTATTATTATAATTATTATTTTTTTTCCCCCTGAAATCATACACACGAATGAAATAAATTACAATATGGTTTAATTTTTGGCTTAAAATTGTTTAACCTTGTACCTTACTCTTCTCAAAAAAAAAGGGATCCTAAGGAAGGAAAAAGCCTTGTACCATAACATTGTAAAAAGTGAAGATAGTAATACATATAAGATAAGATCAATGATGGCAATAGTGTTGGCCTTCCTATGAGTAGAACAAAAGGTGAGCTCGAACTCTTTAGTGCTTTAGTGCTAATTTAAAGACCGTTAATTTCCTTCGTTACTGTGGCTGAAAAATTTGGTTTTAATCTTCATGAATGAAAAACCCAATCTATACCTGAATATTTCTAGAATTGAATTACTGACCTGGCAAGAATGCTTACAGATTCAAACTTTAAATTTTCTCTTTCATATACAGTCGTATTATTTACAGGGTTTCTTTAAGAAATGTTTTTCCAGAAAAAATTTGCCTTGTTGAAGCGGAAGCCAATGATCCTGTTGGAGCTCAGATGAATTTCTATTTCCATTTAAAAACACAACCACTTTGCATTCTTCAGGATAAGGGGGGGGGGAGGAGGAGGAGGAGAAACTTACGTCACTTTCTACCCAGAAAAACCTGTTTCACCACACGAAGGCTTCAAATCCTGCGATGCATTAGCAACAACATTAAAAAAAATGTATGGGTGTTCATTTAAAAAATTGTTTGGAAATGTTGATTCAAAATATTGCTTGAATATATTCTCTCTGATTAACAGTTTTACAGTAACAACGTCCTGATTCTAATTCTGCTTAGAAAAAGTTGTGACAAAATAAAACTGTAAATGGTCACTTCTTATAATGCCTTTTCCTTAGCTCTGAAGTTTAGCAAATTCTACCGGGGATTTCATCTAACAATGTAGTATGTATGTTATTTCAAGTCCAAAATGGCTGAACGCCAAAAAATTTTAAGATGTGCCCCCGAGGGACAATCACACCCAAACATTCTTCGCATTAAGTAAAACCTAAAATCTGAGTTTTAATTAACTCGGTCTCTACTGTACGAGTCTCAAGGCAGCTGCATTCATAGTCACTAACATCTTTACATTTATCTCAACCATGCTCTACTGCGGGATGATTTAAAAGTCTTGCATCAGCATGAGGCATCACCCCTTTAACTTTTGAACAAATGGCGATGGAGACTTCCTGATTTTTGAAATTTTTTGAGTACTCTTACGTCACAGACAACGTCTTTTGTGCCTCCCCCTCCACCAAAATTTTAGGGCTACCACCCTGTAATAGCGCAAGAAACCTGGGGCTGATTTGGTGCAGGCTTTTGGATCACCCTGTATATTCCCATGTTTTTATTCTGTTCACATTCCCCCCCGATTGAGAGACATTAGAGGGGTTCTTAAAGGACTCACTTGTTGGCACTTGTGCAATTTTTGAGTGGGGTGATGCAGCCGGATATGCTCTTTCAACCGAATGAACGCATTAAATTGCACTCTACAAAATTCGCATGTGTGAACCTCCTCCTTTTTATGGTCTAGTTTGTGTTTAAGATATTCCACACTAGTGACATAGGCTTGACCACATTTTTTACACTTGAATCTAGGAGAATGTATCTTCATATGTAGCTCTGTAATGGAAAAACAATAGTTAAATGTTACATAATTTTTTCTTCTCAAAATGGGCAACTAGACAAGGTGTGAATGAAAGCACTATGTACATGTTCCCTCTCTGAAAATTTTCTCAGAAAGCGATTATCACAACTGGAATTTCGAAAATTAACTCCTATTTAAGATATTGGCACGCATTTAACGTGCATAATAAAGTGCGTTTGACCATGAATAAATGAAACAGAAACAATGGAGATGACAACATTTCTTTTTTCGAAATTTTGTTATGCATTCCTGAAAAATTTTAAAAATTAAGATTGCTCCAATACAAAGTTATTGATTCATATGAGTAAAAAAAGAAAATAAGTAATACATGGATAAGGTATTTGACTTTTAAGACATATGCAAAACAGAGGAAAAAGTACAAATGTTATAAAGAACCCCGCACAGAGCATGGGGTCAGCGGCTCTCGATGAAACTTTAATGGATTGATATAAAGATCATAATTAAGGGAAAGCCAAAAAATTAGCTCACTTTTGCGAGTAGAAGCCGAGATATTTGCGATTGAACCCGGACTATTTTCTGTGCGGCGGAGGTAAATTCTCCGTGTTGCCTTACCTTGCTTGAGCACTTCGGCCAGGAAACCCCCTCTCCCCACCAGGTAACTACGATGTCGCATTGTTTACACCCACTCCTTTCATTAGGACGCTCCGTTCGGGCTGTGCGATATGGAGTTCCCTGCTTCTTGCACCGGCCGGGCCTTGTGCCGGCCGGTTTAATCTGAAATGTAGTTGCTGAAACAGAATTGACAGATGCGAGGAGAGGGAGGGAGTACGGCATTCGCACCAGCCGAGCGCATAAGCACCTATCTTCACGTGAGTGACGTGAGGTCTGATCGAGAACGCCGAACAACGAGAGGAGAGGGGACTCAGAATTCTTCCGCCATGCTGCAGCATGATAGAAAATAGTCCGGATTCAATTGCGAATATCTCGGTTTCTACTCGCAAAAATGAGCTAATTTTTTGGCTTTCCCCTAATTATGAACTTTATATCAATCTATTAAAGTTTCATCGACTTTCATCGAGAGCTGCTGACCCCATGCTCTGTGCGGGGTTCTTTTGTCAATTCATTGCCAGTTGATGTAAGATTAAAAGATATTAGAGACCTCAAAAACTTAAATTTTTTTTAGATTCATAGACTTTTCAATGCGTCAAAAACCTTGGAGAAATTAGACTTTTATAGTCTTTTTGAGGCTTCAGGAGTGACTAAGGAATGGAAGAGAAATCAGTACTGTCTAGATACTTACTAAGAAGCGATTCAGTTCTAAATGCTTTGCCACACTTTTCACACATTTTAGGCTTTTTCACCTTCGTAAATTGAACTCTGGGAATACTTGGCCTTAAAATTTTGATTTTCCGCTTTAGTTTCGCTGGGGTAACAACTTCCTCACACCCTTCAGTATTGACTACATCACTCGGATCAACGATGACAACGAAGTCCTCACTGGCTTTTTCGACACCCCTGTAATAAAATATAACAAAATTTGAGGGACTTAGTAAACCCACTTAGTCAGAGGTTGATAAGTGCAATAATTTTTTAAGACAAACTCTAATATTCTAAAGTGAGCCTTTGAGGAGATTGAAGACTTTTGAAATCAAACTTTAAAAAAAAACCTTAAAAAACTATGATCAGCCATTCCTACCTATGTTTTAATGAGTATTTCAATGAAATAAAGAATTTACCCTTTCAAAATTATAACAGCAATAACAATCATAAAAAATATAAAAAGTATCGAACAATTCAAAGAGAACCTGACAGAGAAGAAAGCATTTCAGAGAAAGAAGCATCAAATACTCCAATAGATTACAAAATAACTGTCCTAAAATTAACCTTGAAGCTGAGGATAGAGGTTCCAAGAATATAATGTTGATCGATATGAGCATTATAGAGATTGCAACAACTAGTGATAATGGACCATTTATTGAAACCTAAATGAGGGAATGGAATAAAAAAAGATAAATTACAATTCCTAGAAAATTGATCCAAAGCCTTAACTCTAATGTTCTGAAGGAAATCTAAGACGTCAAAGATATTGCCGACTAACTTAAACAAAAATAACAAATTGTTATATTCTAGCGCACAGTAAAAGCAACTTATACATATATACAAATCATTGTACTGTGACTCATCTTGAACGCATGTTTCCCAATTTAAGTCTGATTAGTCTGATAAAACAATATAAGAAAATAAACAAAATTTGTACTCACTGTTTTTCTTCGTTATCCATCTTCAAATATTTTGTCAACTGCTTGGTAATAACACTACGCTGTTTAGTTGAGAATTGAAAATTTTTCTTTCGTAAAATATGGAATTTTTCTTGGGAATTATTTCCGGACTTAACAAGTTGCAAAGAACGCTTATTAATTGCCCCTATATTTGACTTGATCAAAGGAGCTTTCTGCAGTCTTAGCGGTAAAGATGCTTTGTTCTTCATGTGGACATTACTGCCAATAGTACTATTAAGTTGCACGGTAATTGGAGTCTTGGGGGTAGTGGGTAGTTTATTCCACTTGTTAGGCGAAACTTGAATCTCTTTCAATACTTTGCACTGAACTACTTTTGGTTGCAAGTCTTTTGGTAATATAGTTCGATACCTGGTGTCTGTCGGTAAACTTGATGTTGACTTTTTCACTAGGGGAGAAGCAGGATTGGAATTTGATCCTTCAATCTCCAAGTTTTTGTCAACTATTTTGGAACTCACTTGCAAATTTGCAGGGACCACAAATTTGCTACCATTAATGAAAATTGTGGATTTGGCTGGAGTATGTAACCTAGGGTTAGGAGATTCACTTGCTTTGGTCACTACCACATTCGGAGGTGGAACAAATGCGATTGGTTTAGTTGAGGTGTTTTTAAAAATGATCATATTGTCTTCAGTGACATCAAGGACTGTTCTTGAGTTTTTAGGCGGAGGAATCGTCTTTGTTTTAATAGGACTGAACATTAGACGGTTAAGAGGTTCCTTGACCTTCACTTTCAAATTACCAGAGTTCAATTTTGCAGATGCCATTGAGGAGAGATTGTTTCTTGATTTCAATTTTGGAACCATAATTTTTGATCTCTGGGGGCTTGGGCCCAATGGAACGGCAGCATTTTCATAATAGTGTTTCCCATCTTTGCTTCTCCTTAATCTTTTAACTAAATGATATCTTTGCCCATCCTTTGTGACTAACTTGTTTGTATGGACCAGGTTTGATTCGATATTTTTGCTGTGGATAAATAGTTTTTTTGTGGCAGTATTGATTGGTTTAGGTGCGCGCGCATGACTTGAACTCACTTCTTCAAATTGAGAGAGATTTTGAGCACCTTCATTTCCTTCCACGATCCTTTTTCCACCTGTCACATACCAAAAAATAGTTGAGTAAGGAAACATGGTTGAAAAGCAAATACAATGCAATATCGAATTGAAAATAAATAGTCAAATTTTTGATGATGGTGAAACTAAAGAAACCCTGTGTCCACCCAGGAGGGTGAAATGATTAAAATTGTTTTACAATATAAAGAAATCAATTGTTACTAATTTCTAATTGCCTAAAGAAGACAACGTGAGGTTTACCAAGAGATTTAGTGCTGCCTATGTTTGAGCAGCTTTGAGTAGCAAAAAAGAAATTCTGATTCAGAAACGAGGACGTAGGAATGATAAAGAAATAAAATACAGTAGAAACGGTATACAACGACACATTCATTACAGAAAACCGTTTATATCGTTATTTTCGCGCGGTCCCGTTTTTTCATCCATAAGAACAATCTAAAAAATTCCTGCATTAATGGGAAATGCTTATTGCGGAAAACCGCTAACATCAGCAAAAATTTTTGTCCCAAATCTAAAAAATTCCGAAATAAACGGGATTTTCCCAAAAAAATTCTGTGCGAGTTTCGGAACTTATGCAATCTATTGTCAGATAGTTATTCCGAGAATTCAATACAACAGAAACACCATCCAGTTATTAGCAGTGGTGTGGCGTGCTTTGCAATACATTGATTGACATGCCATTAAAACCTATGGAAAACAATCAATAAACAAGGTGTTTGCAACGAACACCTTAATAATCGATCTTTTCCCATAACTTCAAATCGGGCAATATCAATAATTGATCATTCATGCTTCGCCACTGGTTCCGCTATGCCTCTAGTTCCGTCTATGATTGCCATATTAACTCAAAATTCATTAACATTATTTCACATCATAAAAAATGACGGCTTGTTGCATGGATAAGTTTTACCGTTTTGTGTTTGAAAAGGATGAATTCGTTTCTCCCACTTATCATAAAATTACTGCTCGCAAAAAAATTCAAATTGATCCCCAGAAATCGGGTATTAGCTGTCACGATGTGGCATTAGGCAGCGTCAGACAGATCCAGTTATCATGGAGAGGCGCGGGCCACGCAGAACTCAATATTTAAGCAAAAACCGCTTGTACCAGACACCCGCTTATAACGTAGTATTTGGCCGAACCCAGTGCGTTTCGTTATATGCGGTTTCTGCTGTAGAGTGAACCAAAACATGAATAATCAAACTGTGGGAACTTAATACAAAGGACTGGGTTGGGAAATTGCAAACTACTAGGGCTCAAACCTTATGTTTTAGAGTTAATCACAAAAATCTCATACATCTGTCCTTTTCATGGAAAATCCACATTTTTCTCTATTTAAATAAATAAATTCCTTTATTTCACTTCAGCATTTCCAATGGGTGAGATGAGGATTTATTTCCCAATAGGGTAGATTACGTTTTTGAAAAGTCAGTAAGCCTTTCAAATCTGTGCTTTTTCTGCGTAATTGCTCTTTTTTTGTACCGTAGAAACCCTGTTTCTTGACAAATTTTAAGATAGAATAGTTACTAGAATAAGAAATTTCTTCTGCAAGGATGGAATCAACTATTACTCTGTTCACTGGTTCATTGTTATTTCAAATCAAAAGATAAGAAATTAAAATTAAAAATACATTACCTCCATGCGTTTGAGGGTTTTTTCCAGAGAGTTTGACGGTGTGATCTTCAGGTTCAACAGTTTCTGCTTCATCCGTGCTAGAAGATGACCCATCATTACCGGCCGAGGATACTTTAGGATCATTTTTGGCCCCACTTTCTTTATTTTGTACAATGCTGCACTCTTCATCATATTCTGAATCTATCAAGTCAATTTCGGTATGCAGAGAATCTTCTTCTGCCTCCGTCACTTCGTCTTCAGTCAAGTCATTTGTTGCAGTTTCTAGAATGGAATTTATGAGTATCATTAATGAGTGCACTTTTGCACCATATTTACCTCTTTAGCTCCCTAGTACCTGGTACAGTTTAACTTTTCTTTTTCAACAAAATATAAAGAAGTTAAAAAGAAATATTCATTTTTCACCCCTGTCTAGAGTGACTTCTTTAAGTAGGGCCTAGGAAAAAAAGGACCCTTATAATTGAGTAGTCTTCTTTCTGATCAAAATAACACATTCGATTCAATTTATTTATTTTAATGACACACCAACAATTACTGCATTAGGTTTTACAAAATGAAAAGGATGTATTCCCCACCCTTTCAGGCTTCTTGGAGGGGTTGAAGTGTAGGTTGGATGTGTGTGAAAAGTAAAATCTGCATGATCAAATCAAAAGCTTACCAGGTGCTGGCAATGGATTTGTGAGATATTCCTTGATTAATAATAGCGAATACTCCCTCAGTGATTTCGGCAGGTTATTGATTTTCCGGAAAAATGAGTCAATCTGAAAACAAAGAATAAAGCCCCATCAATAGCACAATTGGGGTTTAAGTCAAGCAATTTATTTATAATCAATCATCCATCATAAATTTTAATAATATTGGCAACACAGTAAGTACAGCTGTAAATTTTCATAAAAATGGAGACCCTCCACAAATCAAACCAGAACTAGGAATGATAGCTAAATATCCCAAGTCACAATTGTTAGCACTCTGATAGTGCAGGGGCGCAGATTGTTCTTTAGGGAAACATTTGGTCGAAATCTGCACCACAAAATTTTCTTAGTGCACAAAAAAGATCATAAGAGGGGTTTAGAGAACAAGGCGCATAAGTGCAGTTTTTGCTATTTCTAGAAATATGTGTTTAAAGTTTCGAAATTACATGGATCCTCATGGTGGAAAGAAAGTTGAAACTGACTGATAGAAGCTTAAAAATTTGAATTTGGGAGCGAATTTTTCAAAGTCTATCCATTAAGACTAGTTTAACTTGAAATCATTGGTATCTCAATTTTTTCAAAAACTGCACTTATGCGGATTGTCCTCCAAGCCCCTCATAAGACCTCTTTAAGCCCAAAAATGTCAAAACTCAGAGCGCTTTTCTGTTTTTCCTCATTTTTTGCTGGGGGGAAAAGAAAATTGAAAAAAGCCATCAAAAACCGGGACATATCTACACAGGATAAAGGTGGAGACATCAAAGAGCAACCATAGCATTTTTTTTGCGCTCTAGCACTCAAAATTTTAGAAATGGATTCAGCTAAAAAGACTAGGTACCCAATGATGGTTCTTGAGTTCAATAGCACCATAGACAATGAAACTCTTGCAAAAGTCAAGAGATTTTCAATTTAAGGACTATAAATTTCGTGAGAAAAAGGATGGTTGCAATCATTAATTTTTTTTTGTTAGCCACCTTACCAATGATTTTCCACCACCTCCGCAGGGTCTAAGAAAGAGAAATTTTTGAAGTGGAAATTTTCATAGCAAGTCTTCAATATTAAATTGATAGAGCAATACCTTAAAGTAGGATTTGATATTCATACTTGATGGTAAATAGAATGAGAACAAGATTATTCATCGAAGTTGTCTCAGGATGCCAGATAAGAATGCTTCATCAGGTTCTACCAATAGGTCAGTTGCGCTGGTCACAGAATTGTGTTTTGATGCTCGATTCTTGTGGATCAGCTAATGATAATAAGATCTGTCCGAACCGCAACTTTCTATGTTCAATATGAACTGAGATGACGCCTTTTGAAAAGTCGGGTTTCTGACGTCATCCACCGCAATAGTGACACCCTTGGTTTCTTCCACCTTGCTTTCATCAGTCAGTGTGACGCACATTTACCCTGATTAGTTAAAGTGAAACTCGGATGAAAGCAAGGTGGATGAAACCAAGGGTGTCACTACTGCGGTGGATGACGTCAAAAACCCGACTTTTCGAAGGCATTATCTCAGTTGATATTGAACATAGAAAGTTGCGGTTTGGACAGATCTTATTATTTTTAGCTGATCCACAAGAATCGAGCATCAAAACACAATTCTGTGACCAGCGCAACTGACCTATTGTGTCAGCTAAGGTCAACTTTATGATGACAATTAGATCTATTGCAACAAAAAGTCAAATTCTAGAATGCAGCCCCACTGAAGAGATGGCAGCTAGAAATTTGAATGGAAAATTTCATTAATGATTCCAGAACGATCAAAAACTATGAATAGTTTTGCACAAACAACAGATATGTGTAAGCATTGGATTTACCTTACGTCATGATAGTAAATATAATAAGAAAAGGATGAGTTTTGACTATACCAAAGCTCATGAATAAGATCCATACCTCAGAGGAAAGGCTGAATTGCTCGTAGCAAGACATGATCCTCGCTGATCTCCTGTAGCAGTCTCTTCAAAACTCAAGTTGAGGCTGAGTGAGTGATATTCTACTTCGATGTTACTTTGAAATTATTAACTACTGATCAAACACATAAATTTGGGAAAAGTGGGACTGTGTATTGTGAAAAAACTCAAAGAAAATATGTTGATAACAAGAGTGAGCAAGAAAAAAAAAAGTTCGCAATGATGACCATTGCACAGATTTTGGCTATCTTGCGTCTTCACAGCCAGACTACATTTTGTGAAATCTAGAGATAATTATGCACTGATCAACTTATTTTTTAAAGAGTACTTCACTTCTTTCGTGAGAATTAAATTATAACGTAATCAAAGACCATGATCACACATTCACAACAACAAACCTGAATTTCAACATAACATAACCTCCAAAACAAAACAATGCAAAACGAAGAGGAGCGGTTCCGATTGGTTGGAGTAAAGGAGAAAATTTAAAAAGAAGCGGGAACGAATACGGGGTTTCGTACACGTTCGTACTTACCTACCTGAAAACTCGTCACTCCTCACTACAAGTTTCTCGGATTTCGCTGTATTTTTAGAATATCTTCAGCTATAACTGATCATAAATAAACTGAAGGGATGCCGTAACTTTGGAGTTCTCCACAAAGAGGCAGCCTGTCAAAAAATATTTCCTTCCTGCCTGTGCATTAGGTAAGTACTGTGCGGTGTGCATGGAGATTCTAACTAACTGTGAACGAAGAGATGAATGTATTTACATCAAAAGAAACAAAATCCATTCTGACATGAGCCCTGAGATTCAAAATAATACATACATGACAGGGTTTATGACACAATGGGCATAGGACCTTTTGATTTAAATGCATCCAGATGGCCTGCGTTTGGGTGTTTGTTTTAGGAAAAAACCTGTGGCACTATCGTATTTCTTGTGAAATTTTACAAGCGACGTAGCTCTTACGTAGACATGCAGGAGCTCCAGTCATTTCAAGTCTGAGTAGGACTTGCAGTGATAAAAAGATCGAAATTCTTAAGATAAAGTTATCTTTTAAGCCTTGGCTGCTTGTTGGTTTATCAGAGTACCAAAAACATCTCCCTGCAAAATCATGATACCTTTCATTGTCATATCAATGGCCATAGTGTTAAACCATGTATTTCTGTTTGCAACGTTGCAGATTTCCGGTCATACATAGTTTTTTAAGTGTTAATTCTTTGGAAAACTAGGCAACTTGATTCCTTGAAAACTTCGTTGATTTTCCTACTCCATTGGCAGAATGTTTTGAGTAAATATCAAGCCATAAAATTTGCTTTATTCTCCTTTAATAATCGAAGTCTAGGTTAGGAAAGGATTCCTGGGGGTTTGAGGGGTTATAGGATCTTTCAGGGCCCAGGGCGCCATTCAGAGGCGTACAATATACTTGTGGAACGGTAATTAGTATTTTTTCTCTCCAGTGCTTGGTTTTCAAAAAAATGGACAGATGCACTTGCGGAGAGGGCGGCTACTCACAGTACAATACAAACGTTAACATTTAACAAGCATTGAGCCAATCACATTGCAACATGCTCCGGGCTCTCGTCCGTTCAAATGCAGTTTTGTTGAAAACAAAGCCCAGGAGCAAAAAATGCAACTACCAGACCCCGTATATTTTGGGTTACAGATGAATGCATTGCTAAAAGTTAAGGGAGGAAGCTATGTATCCCAGACTTTTGGCTCAAAACCACCAACAACATTCAGAAAAAATAATGATTTCCCCGAAAATTTTGGGTGGCATAGCTCCTACTAGGAGCATTTTTGGGAAAACATTATTGAGGAAAAAAGTCTTTTATTGATCTAAATAGAACTTAGTGCTGCAGAATGGCCATTTAAACCCTCAAACACCTTTTGTACTTCATGCTATATAATATAGATTTAGAGGTTAGCACTTAGATGCAATTTATTTACTCTTAAGTTATGAATTTTGGGATTACAGAATCTGTTCCACAGTTTCCGATGGATTTTTTAAATGGAGTGAATTAGTATGTATTTATTTTTTTCTTACTTCATAGAAAGAGAGGAAAATATACTCGTAAGTAAAGATTCTTGTTAAATTTATATCAAATTTATTGAGATAATCGAAAACTTTAAAGTAGCAAAGAAAAACAACAAAACACAAAAAAAGTAGTAAAGAAAAAATTCTTACTTACGGACAAAATTTAAGTAAAAATTTGAAACAAACAGCAACAAATAAATAATCAAGATTATCTTTCCTTTTCATCTTTCAAAATTGTTGTTTCAACAGCAGGATTTTGTGCTCCCAAATCGGGATTCACATCATTAGTCGCTGTTGTTTCTGAGGAGCCATCACCTTTTTTTTCTGAATTCTCAGTGTCTGTGGAGTGGGTATCCTTTTCTTCAGCTTTCTTTCCTGATTCAGTAGGATTTGTCAGCTCCAGGAGGTTATACTTCCGCAATTTATAGTAGTCCGGGACAACAGATAAGCAGCAAATGCCTCGAATTACTTCAACTACCACAGCCAGATTTGGTTCCTTCAGGTTTGCTTGGTGCAATGGATTACAGTCAGTCACCAACAAAGCTAATTCTCTTACTAGTTCCATACGGTCAATATTATCATTCTGTCGTCGGCTGCAACAAAAGCGAAAAATTAGATGCTACAGGCTGTGATTAAGTAGCAAGCGGTCATATAAGAGAGCGTGGTTGCTACAGGCCACAGTGATTTCAAGGCTAAAGTTCAGGGGTGAATAGATTGCTCGAATGGGCCACCAGACAAGGTCTGGGCTTGAAAAAATTCACATGGCTTTCTTTTCAAAATCTCACATAGGTAATGATTCACACAACAGGAACGTTTAAAAATCAACTCCTGCAAGAGATATTAACGAGAGTTTTTAACACAAGTTAAATGAGAATTCGATTACACAGGCATCGATTGTAAGTTTGCCGTTTATCCAATGTTAATTATGAATAATTTCTACGTATATGAAATTTTGAGGGAAAAATATATTGCGTAATGGCACAATTCATACCCTGTTTAAAGGCCCATTTTACAGACTTTTGGATTGCAAGATCCTTGCAGAAATTTTACCTTGGTGAGTGAAGTTTTGCTCCTTACTAAACTATTACTTTGATGTTTTAAAGACTTTTTTTGCAACAAACATTTGATTTATTTCCATAATTTATAATCCAATGTTTTAAAAAAGTTGACAAAATGTTAGAAAAAAAATATATTGAGATAATGCATGGATGGTGGTTTTCTTGACATCCACCTTCTCTTGTGAAAGGTTGATGGACTCGGGTCATCCTACCGACAGGATGATCTTCAAAATTAACCTTTTATAATCAATGAATGACTAGGGTATTCCAAAAAGAAAGTTTCAATATTTCTGACACTTTTCCCAGAGGATGCAGGGGTTATTCAAAAACAAACAAAACGACTTAATTCGTAAACTCAAACTAAAAATGCACACTTAGCCACCTCTTTCTTCAATGGCATGGTACAGAGCAAAGTTATTTTCCCCTTTTCAATTACTGTGTGTTAACTCCTGTTAAATAGAATTACATACGATTGAAAAGAGTAATTTTACTTGCTCACTTGAAAATGATTGAGAAGGTGGTGCTGTCACATTTAAAATGCTTCTTAAATAATATTACAGCTGCTGCTTTTATATCTTCTACTGTGGCCTGAAAGAGATACACAAAAAAAGATCAATATTTTAAACAAATCTTGCACTTAGTTGGATTGCACTAAGCAGAAAGGTACCAAGCCACATTAGCTATTGTCAAATTTACTTAGGCAATTCAATTTTTTACATGAAGACGGTTGTGTAGATTTTTATGCAAAATTCAGGGAATTTTCTACTCTGTGCAAAGCAAATTCCTTTAAAATTTCAAAAAAATCTGCACAAACGTTCTCCTGTAAAAAAATTAAATTGCTCATTTTTGGCGATGGGTCCAATTTTGATCATTTGATTTGCAGGACCTCTCTGGATTGTATTTCCAAATTTAAGGATTGAGGAGTTATTTGTACATCTGAGTTCTCTTTGGAGGAGCATATTGGATTTTTTTTCTTAAAGGCCTACAGACTTTTTAGGTTTATAAGCACAGTGTCAACAGATTTCAGTGGAACTGTCCCCCACTTCTATAAGATTTGGGTTTTGCTCATCTTATCCTGTGCTTCTCCTGTTTGACTACCACATACTCAACAGCAAGCCAACGATAGAAGCTATATGTGTTTGTCTGGTAGACAAGGCTAGACTAAAATGGAACAGAGCTGTGTGATGAAATAACTGCATTTATTAGATGACTAACAAGGTGAGCCCTTTCTCAGGCTGAATAATCAACTGGTTGCCGGTCTGCAAAAAAGTACCTTTAGCTGTACAGTCAATTACACAGCCCTATAAAGAGCTTAAAATCCCTCTGACATTCATCTGATCAATACAGCTTTCTGATAACATAGATTATGTTCGTTTAATCAGGTCATAAAATGATTTATTTTGTTTATGGTCTGTTTTATACTCCCTTTGACAAGTAGATTTTTTGTTGAGAATGGGTCAGTTGCACGCAAGAGACACAGCCAACTGGACACACTTTCTGATGGTAAATTCCCTCAAAAATCACGTTACTCACATCAAAAAAGTTTGAGATTCACTCCTTAGTGCACAATCTGCCTATTCTGTAACACGCTTTTTCAAATTTACCGCGAGGGTATGCGGGCAATTTTTTGTGGTGGCCAGCAGTCAGGTTTACCTAGAGAGAGACCTAACCTAAATAAACAATCAATCTTGCAAACTGTTGTAAACTCCTCTAGCGTAAGATTTTAATTCATTCAAAGCTTTTGTTTTTACAAAATATAGAAAGAAAAAGGGGAAAAAGCTTGAAAATGATTAAAATCATACGATAAAAATGTTAGTGAAACCTTTTGTTTGCTATGTATAGTTTTTCTGACTTCTCTGTCTGTGCAAACCTGGTCAGCGCTGAATGAGAAAAACTGCCCGCAGACCCGGGAAACCTGAAAAAATGAGTTACAAACTACGCAAATTGCGCACTACAGAATGGATTTCAGAATTTTTTGACGTGTCCAACGTGATTTTTGTGCGATTTTACTTGTGTAGAAGATATTCATTTGGCTGTGTCTCTTGCGTGCAACAGTATTTTTACACTTATTCTTGAGGGATTTGAAAAATTTTTAGCCTTTTAAGTTGCGCAGGATCATCTTAATGAACTTAAAAATTTCATTAAAGATGGGACATTCTGTTTTTCATTGGATCTAGGTTCACTGAACTTATTCCTTACGAACCTCGTTTTCTCTTCACATAATTTTTAACTTTTTCTGATCATGGTGCAAAACTGTTTTTTCACTTTGTATGCATTTGAATTCTTTGTTTTCCTCAGGCTGCCTAGCTTGCTTGATTTAAAAATAAATAAATTTTGCCAGGTTTGCACTGGTTTGGTGATAACGTGATGGTGCTGTTGTATTTTTTTTACCTCATTCTATTTTCCATTCTTTTCTCAATTACTCACTCTTTGATAAAACATTTTGATTTTTTTTATCAGATGAATTAGATTAAATGGTTACATCAAAGAATGGTTACATCAACAAATTTGGAATGAATAGTAATGGGGAGAAAAAATTTAAGAGAACCAACCCAAACAACCAACTCAAATATTTGCTTACCCTGCAAACAGCCTCTACAGGAATCATTCGAAGAAGGAACCTTGTCCTCTGCTGTTTTGTATCAGCAATTTCGGCCAGGATACTATGAGCTAATTTCACAGGGTCATCAAGCTGAAAAATATCAGATGCATTTTTCTGGGAACCGTGAACTTCGTTATATACGGGCTCCACTGTAGATGAATTTAGAACGACAGTTGAAAATGTTGCTAATTGCAACAGCTTGAGGGATACATACTTCTCAATTCCTACGATATCACATGAAAAATGAAAGAGTGCATTAGATAATAAACGCTGAGCCAACCATCATTCATCAAATTATGACGAAAGAGCTTGTCTGGTATAGTCATGTTCAAAGAATGGCAGATGGCAAGTTCCTTAAGTAGGTACCAGATTGGGTTATAAAATAACCCAAAATATGAGGGAACGCCTAACAAAATCATGGATACATGGCGTTCAACATAAAATTGCAAGATGTAATTTGCCAAAGAAACCTTGTTTTAATAAACATGGATGGTGATTAGGTGTTGCAGGGCACCTGGGAAGTTGTAAAAAGGACTTTATATTTTGACAAAATTCTCAAGCTAAATTCTTGAAAACGCAAAGAGAAATTATTTGAAACTTTATGTAATCATCACTACTAGCCATTTTCCAAAAGAGTAAGATGTGATCAGAAATCTGCGGTCATGACTGCCATAGAATTTAACAGATGAAATTTACCGACATTTCCCTAATTTTCCTGACAAATTTTGGTAAATTTCCTTCATATTTGACAATATGCAGAAAGGTTGAAATCAGTCACTTTCAAATTTCAACAAGCAACGTTTGTTGTTTTAAAAAATAGAAAAATTGCAAAACATAGCTTTGAAACAAAAACCAATATTAAACTTTACTTAGGACGATATCTTTTTTCTTTCACCAGATACACGTTATAAGGATTTCAGCTTCAACTCTTCTACTTCACGATATGGAAAATAATAGTAGGTACTTACGGTTGTCTTAATAAATACCACACCCTTAATATCTGTATTGACAACACTGAATTTTCTTTGCTCTGTTTTATCATCGGATGATTTAAGCTCTTCGATTTCTTTTGCTAGCTCATCTTCTACTTCTGAAGCTTCAACATTTTCAGCAGTTTCTGGTTCCTAAAAGAAACAAGAAGTTAGTTAGAAAAAATGATAAAAATTGGGATTACATTTCCCCTGTTCCTACCTCCTTAAGTAGTATTTTTTTCCAATATTAAAAATTATGTAATGATGAGATTGAAAAAACTTGTGGATATTCATAGGATACAATAGAACATGTAGCCAGAAATTTATGACAATGCAATCTAAGATGCAAGAATTTTTGGTTTCGTCAATGACATGTCCTTTGTAATTCAGGTACTTGAAATAAAATTCCTCTGACCTTCGAAGCATAATAAAAAATCCCAGATATACATGAAAATGCACATACATGAATCTGTTACGAGTTAAAAGCACAGCCAATTATATAGACTCACGGCGGGTAAAATCACACAAAAATCTAAATGGGCACATCAAAATAGTTTGAAATTCGTTCCTTAGCATGCAATCTGCGTACTTGTAACACGCTTTTTCAAGTCTCCCGCATCCACAGGCGGCTCTCCTCAGTTGGCGACAACCAAGTTTGGACTGATAGGGGAATAAGGAAACCTTACCTGAATAAACAAAGAATTTTGAAAATGTCTTTTAGTTTACAATTCCAAGTATTCCGATGGTGAAACTACCAGACCAAGTATCTTAAGTACTTGCGGTGTTTAAAACTCTCCCCTCCCATTTTATTTTTTTGAGGTAGAACAAATAAATAAAATTTCTTGAAACTTTCAAACAGTTTTCTTCACACAGAGAAAAAAAAACACAGAAGTTTTCAAGAATTGACGTTGAGTGGTTTTTCATTTAAAAAATAAAAAATGACAGAAAGTCTACGACGTCACAAGCCAAGATACGTGGTCTGGTAGTTTCACTGTCAATTATTATTCCTTTTCTTCTTGTATCAATTGTAATCTTACATAAGGGAAGTTTTGAACAATATGTGAGATTGTTTGTTTATTTAGGTTAGGTTTTCTTGAGTCTCTCTCCGGGAAAAACTGACTGCTTGCCATTAAGAAATAGGTACTGTCCTCAGATGCAGTAAATTTGAAAAAGCTTACGAAGTCCCACTTATGCAGATTGCATGCTTTGGAGAGGATTTCTGACTTTCTTGATATGCCAAACATGATTTACATTCAATTTGGTTGGAAAAGAATCTATTCATTTGGCTATAATTCTATGGTCAACAGACCCAAAGGTAGGTTCCGCTTCAACCGCAGTCACTTTGCTCTCCATGAAGAAAAAAATTAGCCTTTGGTGAGCCCTAGGTAACTATGAGTAATTAGACAGCATTAAATTTTTAAATATTACTGCTATTAATCACACAAGAGTTGAATGAATGATCATGAGCAAGTTTTGGATGGCATGATGTTGCTACTTGAGGCTCTTCATCACCACACTCGTGTTACTCTGTAGAATAAATGTCCGTGGCTATTAGGTCAGTACATGACAAGTATCTAGGTGGGAAAGAAAACATGATTACCTTCATTTCAGGGAATAATTTGGCAGAGAACTCATTCATGATATTGTAAGATTCTCGGACACACTCCTTCTCATTCATAATGTTACAAGTACAGATGAACCCCTTCAAACCAGGAGTGATGCAGAATTTACCCTTTTTGTGGGTTTGTGGTCTGTAAAAATTCTTCCTTTTGGGCATCATTCTGAAAATAAGAGAAAATATTTCTGTACAGGGCTTTTCAGGCAATTCAGAGCTTACATTCTACTGCACTGTAAGAACAGTTCAGTGTTAGCTGGATTCCCCTCAAGCAATACGATTATTGAACCTAAGTGTGTAGGTGGACAGGACAAATCAAGACATAGGCCAATCTTAAGCATGTTCCATACAATATCTAGCATTTTGATGTCTTATTGGGCTGCTTTAAACTTTCAATAGTTGACTTGCTGCAATGTTAGATTAAGATCTGTTCAGGATTAATGGGAGGTTTCTTTTTTATCCATGTCACAGAGGATCATGATAAGCCTCACTGCTTTCACAATGCTATCTATTTTTGCGATTCCACCCTGTTTCATGCATGCCAACGGAACGCTTGGATTGCTCCTCAGAGATGATTTTCACAATCTCAGCCTTCAAGCAGAACCGCAGATAACCTGATCCATTGCGTTCCGCGGAGGGATTTTAATACGCCCTTGGCTGTAGCAGATTACGCATTTACAGCCATTCATGCTATTGAAAACTTCATCCATGATATTAAAAATGTCCATCCCTACACAGCTCAGGGTGAATTGTGATTTGTTTATGAAAAGCCGGCGCCGGCATATCGACGCGGCATGGGCAGAAGAGAGGAGACCAACTCACCGGAAGTATGATTGAGGATAGAGCAAATTTAGAGCTGAGAAACAGCGAGAATCTCGTTAAATGATTGCTGCGTAATCGCTGGTTACTGTAGCAGCAGATTCTGTAAGAGCTGATAAGTTTGGATGAGACAGAACTTACAGAAGGAAAACGTAAGAAAACTGGTGACCGAGCCGAGACGAGAGAGGAAAGCCGGAGCCGGAAAGCGAGGAAGAAAGGAGTTTGTTGTTTACATCACCCACACGCCCACACACACACACACACACACCACCACCTGTTTACAGCCGCTCCACTATCAACAACAACCATAACCTCCTCCACGCGAGCAGAGTGACGAGTCTGCTGATATCAATTGTGTCATTTGTGTGTGATAAAAATGCCGAAAATGGCCTCAAATTTTATTCTAATTATCAGTTTTATTTTTAGTATTCACATTTCTTCATCATGCTCTGCTCAAGCCAACAACAGTAAGACTCTTGTCTTGCTGGATACTCTTTCAATCCGAGAAACTCACTCAATATTCTTCAAGTCTCTCAAAGGTAAGTGGACATAGATTTTGCAATTTTTTCGCCGGTAATATCTCCAGAGTAAATAAATGCTTTCCAAGCTGAGGTAAAGTCAAATCCTATTGTTTTTTCGCTACTTGCCCCTAATCCATCTCTTTTGTAAATCAAACAAGAATATTGGATCTCACTACATGCCTACAGAGGAGTTTTCAGGGTACAAACTTCTTGCTTTCGTTGCAGTAGAGATGCAACTCAATTAACACCTTTTCAGTTTCTCCTTATATAGTACCTTTTTCAAGGAGGAAACTTTACCTGGATCTCTAGTTATAATTTCAGCCAATATTCCATATGATAAAATGTAAAACAAGTCATAGGAGCCTGAAGGGAAAACATGCTGCCAGAGAACGTTTTCTATGTTACAACAACAATGCAATACTACATACTGAAACTAAACAATTAATACCAATAACTGAACGAAAATTGCAAATCAAGGTTAAGACCAGACTAATCTTAAATCGGTGCGCTTTGTTGATCTTTTTGCGAAAATCCGGGGCGTTTCCGAAAATTTTTGAGGCCAAGAACTACTAACAGCTCTGGCGCTCTTGATCATTTCTCATGATAAAATACTTCAGTACAAGCTAATTACTTATTACTTACTTTTAAAAACATCTGATTTGCCAGTTATTCCTGTTTATCAAACCATCATCAAAATAATTGAAGTTTTTTTGTTTTTTTTTCTTTTATTAGACAGAGGATATTCATTGACATTCAAATCTGCTGATGATCAAAATTTAGTCTTGTCAAAATATGGAGAGTTTTTGTATCAAAATCTCATCATATTCTCTCCTACAGTTGAAGAATTTGGTGGATTATTGAGTGTTGAAACAATCACAGAATTTATTGATAATGGAGGTAAGTAAGTTCTTGTTTTTTTCTTTCTCTCAAGTTCCATTTTATATTTATGTCAATTCCATGAGTTTAGTGAAGCATGGAACATTTTATGCAATAATAAATCAGGCACACATTTGTGGAGACATTTCTTGGTAGTGAAGGAAAATTTAAAAGTCATCCAGATATTATCAGTGAAAAATAAGTTTACTATCCAGTTGTGCATTTACCAAGATTTGAAAAGTAACCAATTTTTTAAAATGATTGTGATTTTCTCTATACTTAAATGAGAAATTTTTATAGATATTTTTCCTGCATTCATTGTTTTGTTTTTTCGATGCTAGGCAATGTGCTGGTGGCCGGCAGCTCATCAACTGGTGATCTTCTAAGAGAACTAGCCTCTGAATGTGGATTTGAAATTGATGAAGAAGGCTCCGCTGTGATAGACCATCTTAATTATGACATTCAAGATTCCGGAAAGGTAAGATGACAGGCCCAGTTTTTTAACACATTTTCCCAATCTGTATATATGGCTAGCTGAAGTAATTTCCCACAGCTTTGCTCAATGCAGTTATGTAGCCTTTTTTAAGTCGAGAACCATTCAGTTGGACTCCTCAGAGTTGACGTAAAATATGCTCTGACAAAAAAAAATTTAAGAGAAATCCCGGTCTTCATCAAGGGCCTAGATCAAGTTTGAAGTTTGATCCACAAGTCAGACACTCAATCAAATTAAATACCAGCAGAACTTGGTCCCATCCGCCATGTCATCTTAACATCAGGTTGTTCTTGCAGACTTGTAAAAAATTATTATGCTACCTACACTGTTACAAATCTCAAAAGTATCTCCGGTTTTTAGACGTATGTTTACCAATAGTTATTGCATTCTTGGATTATGCTCATTATTCAGATGGCAATCAATGAATTTATGTCTGTGGATTTGTAAAAGCATTCATTCAAGGACTGTCTTGAAATTTTTAATATATTTTTTATTTGACCATTCCTTTAAATAATTTCTTTAAGAGATATAAACTCATTACATTCTTGGATTATGCTCATTCAGATGGCAAATAATGAATTTATTTCTGCGGATTTGTAGAAGCAATCATTCAAGGACTGTCTTGAAATTTTTAATTCATTTTTCATTTGACCATTCCTTTAAGTAATTTCTTTAAGAGATTGAAACTACCGAAGAATTTAGCATGTATGATTCTCCAATGGTAAGATGCCATCCCAACATCCTAACGCTTACATCAAAGATGATATATTTATTTCTTCTTTGTCTTTCCTTTTTTAGCATTCTTTGATTGTTGCTGATCCTAAGAACTTAATTGACTCTCCTGTAATCATTGGATCTCGTGATATTCCTCCACTTCTGTACGAAGGTACTGGCTTAATTGCTGACTCTGAGAACCCTTTGATTCTCCATCTTCTCACTGCTGAAAGCACTGCATACTGTCACAATCCCTCCCAGCCTATCAAAGACGTAAGTAACATTGAATTTTTATCAGCTTTAGCATACACCAATTTTAGCTAAGGATGAAATTTGTATCATAAAGACCTTGTAAAAGAGGCAACTTTTTGAAAACTTGAAGAGCTTTTTTCCCCAGGGTCGGATTTACCTCTAGGGCACTGGGGCGCATGCCCATAGCGGCAAATTTTGGCGATGGGCAAATTTTGACACTGGAAAAGTCAATGCGTGAAAAAAGAAAAATGTAGACAGAGAGGAAGCGAAGTGAAAACTAACTTTTTTTGGCTCGACTATGTGTTTTTGATGGAGCAAAAGTCCTTTTTTAATTACTCTTTCAGCTTTTCTTGTTCACGGGCTGGTCACTATCTATCAGTTTCTGTAATTTTGTTATCCCGCCGTACCTTGTGTCTTGCGGTACTGTTGAATTGTCATCTCAATTTTCTGAGATTTCTCCTATGATACAAAATTACACAAATTTTAACTACTTTTGTCTTCTTATTTTTTACAGTATCCTCATGCTATTGGAAAGAATACTTTATTGATTGCTGCCTTGCAAGCAAGAAACAATGCTAGAGTTGTCTTCTCTGGATCTCTATATTTCTTCTCTGATGAAGCATTCACTTCACCCGTTCAGAAAGCTCAAAGCAAGCAGCGCCATGAGGTATCTGGAAATGCTCAAGTTGCTGAAGCGATAAGCAAATGGGTCTTCGCTGAGTCCGGTGTTCTGCGAGTCAAGTCAGTCTCTCATCATAAATTGGGGGAGACTGCTCCTCCGCCAGCTTATACTATCATGGACACAGCGGTAATTATTTTTTGTTTCATAAGAGTTTTTTTTTCAGGAGTTTCTCGATTTTATTCTACTTTTTTTTTCTTTTTTTTTGTAAAATGACAGGAGATTAATACCTTCAACTGCTTGAGTGTTGATCATGAAAACTTCTAACTTGATCGAAGAAGCATTTTAACTGCACGCATATAATATTGCACTTTAAAGAAGCAGTGAAATAGAGATTCCTTCATAAGAAGATTTTTCAAAAGAAGAGGAGCAAAATTGAATGTATTCATCGTGTATTCTATGGCTACAAACTACAGAGTAATGAAGACCTATGGCTGTGCATGGGGGAGAATTTAAGTAAACAGAAGTTGGTGGCATGAGCAAAAAATGACCAGTAAGTTTGCTTGCATTCATAGTTTGTCTAATTGCCAAATTGTTGGAGTGACTAATGTACAAACTACAGGTGCTGGCACTCTCAAAAGGCATATACCCAACTTCTTTTTACACTGTCAGGTTTTTCCTATTGACTTGGGTTTCAAACTCTCGATGCTCTCTGCTGATAGTTATTTTTTGACAGCAGGGAAAAGGTCGGTAGAGGGCTCATTGAAATAATGATGTATCTTTAGTTATATTATGTTGTAATACATCATGAAACAAATATTATCTTCCCTAGTAGCCTACTTACCTTTAGAATAACTCTGAGGAAAAATAAAACAGCTGTATTTTTTACTAGTTTGAGAGTTTTACACGAAAAAGTCTGAGATCTAAGAGATAAAGACAGGTAATTCGTACTTTTCATGTATTTTTTCTGTAAAAATACTACGTAAACATCTCTTTTTTTATCTACATCACTCCTTTTTCTACTAGTTTTTTGTACAGTGATTTGCTTCGTAAATCATCACATCATGTGGTTTCAGGGTTGTTTTAACCTGTTACTTCCTTCATAGTTTTCATTATAACTTATCTCCATTGTTTGCCTCACTAACCATTTTTTTATTACGGACCCAGGTATTCACTTTGGAGTTAGAGAGGAAAAGTGGAGACAAATGGGTGCCGCACAATGCCAAAGATGTTCAGCTGGAGTTTGTCCGCATTGATCCCTTCATCAGGACATCTCTGCCTCTCAAATCGGACGGAAAGTACGAAGTTGTTTTCAAGATACCTGACATTTATGGAGTTTTCCAATTCAAGGTGAACTATGTTCGGGTGGGCTACACTTTCATTCACAATTCAACACTTGTCTCTGTCCGTCCCTTAGAACATACACAATACGAGCGCTTCATTCCAAGTGCCTACCCCTATTACACATCAGCATTTTCCATGATGGTCGGTGTGTTCCTCTTTAGCATTGTTTTTTTGCATCATAAAGATGAAGTCAAATCCAAAAAAGAGTAGTCTATTGGTCTCACATATATTTGTATATTTTTGAAATGCAACCACTTTTGTTAAGTTTGTAAATTTTGTAATTATAAGTTTTCAAAGACAACAAATGTTGTGTTCTTTTTTATTATTAATATATGTATATTTTCATCTCGCAGGATTTTTCCTGGCATAAATAACCCAAAATGAGTAGAGGACTAAAGTCTTGTGTCCTTTTCATGCTCTAACCATTAATGTTTTTAAGAATAGAAAACTGAGAAATCGAAAAGAGAAGTAAAAGAGAAATGACTATACCATGTGAAGGAAACTAACTATATCGCAGGTGCTAAGAAAAACTAACTTCTGCAATGTATGGAGATGGTGATCTGGGGGTTTCAACTCCTTTAGATGTTTAATTTGGCTCTCCGGTCTGACTCCTGTGACGGACATGACGAGAGGTCTGATATGGACACTGTCCATGTCCCGAATTCTCTTAGTTTCCACAGAGAGGCATGTATTTTGATACCTTTTCTTCATACTTCAACAACGAATTGTATCCGTTAGGGATGCTGAAATCTAAGAGCTGCACAACACGCGCTTGCTTATCAATCCAGATGATGTTAGGTCTATTAGCCATAACCATCCTATCAGTTAGGACCGGATTGTTCCAATTAAGGCAATATTGTTGATTCTCAAGCACAGTTAGCGGATTATAATGATAATTAGGTTCCAGATTTTCCAACAAATCGCAATTTCTTGCCAAAGCTTGATGAAATATCTTTCCCATGTTGTCATAACGCTCCGTATATTCTTTCGCCCCAAGCTAAGTACAGGCAGAAGCAATATGATCTATTGTTTCAGAGGCCACATAACATCTTCTACACTTGTCGCTCCCTGTGTTTTCCTTCAAGACATACTTCCTATAGTTCCTCCCACCAACTACCTGATCCTAGAATGGCAAATGTAAACCCCTCTGTCTCTGGGTAAAGCTGTCCCTTCGTGAGCCATAAATATGACTCAGCCCGATTTACATGCTGTTGCTACACCAGGTTGACGTAGCGGCCATGCAGAGAGTTTATTATTATTTTTTATTTCATCTCGTAGGATTTCTCCTGGTATTAAGAACCCAAAACGAGTCAAGGATTAGAGTCTTTGGGTCCTTTCCATGCCCTAACCATTAAAAGTTTTAAGAATAGAAAATTTAAAAAACGAAAAGAGAATTAAGAGTGATGAAAGACAGAGGACTATTCCATGGACTGCTAAGGAAACTCCTAACTATATTGCAGGTGCTGAGAATAACTGACTTCTGCATGGTGAGGAGGAAGTGATCCGGGAGTTTCAGCTCTTGTAGGTGTTGATTTATTTTTTTTTTACTTGGAAGAGGGAACACTTCCGGTATAAGTATTACTGACAGACCACAGGCCAAAGTCATTAATACACACTAACTTGCTTGAATAAAAGAAAGAATAATTAAACAATTATTATTTTTTTTTTTTTTTTTTTTTTTTTTTTTTTTTTTTTTTTGGTAACTCAGAAGAGGGAGCACTTCCGGCACAAGTATTACTGACGGGCCACAGGCCAAAGTCAGTAACACATACTATCTTGCTTGAAAAAAAAAGGGTAAACGTTATTTTAAAGTAAAATTTAAAAAAAAATTTTAAAAAAATTAAATTTTAAGTGAAATCAAAAAATTATTCGATATTGAGAAACGACCTGACAATACTTGACGTGCTTATAACAACGGACTTCTGCATTGAATGAAGCAGGTAACTGTTTATTCCGAGGTCTCGAAGATGTTGAACTAAACTTTTTGGAACTATCCCCGTTACTGACATTATCAGGGGCTTGATACAAACAATATTCAGGTTCCATAATCGCTTCATTTCTGCAGCTAAGGGCAGATATTTTACCATCTTTTCCTGATACTTCAGCTCCATTATTATTATTATTAGTATTATTATTACTTCCTTCAAATTCACATACTTATAATTGTTTTTAAAATTTGTTACATTGATGATGAAACTGGAAAAATAAGTTCCTGCATTGTGATGCTTTCGAATTTCCGCTACTTCTTTATTTTACCGATAGATTATCAAAAAATATTGAAATATTTTTGGAAGAAAATTGTATAGATGATACAAAAATATTCTTCGAAAGGCAAAGAAAAATCAATGAATATTTGTTGTAATGACAATTATACAGTACATACCTAATTATCCTTCAAAAAATTTTAATGTGACAGGAAATCTACATTGTAGGTACACAGGTTATCACAGATTATAATGTTGTAACATATCCAATAATTATTTCTTTTTTCTGAGAAAAACCTTTTTTTCAGATTGTGTAAAAATATTATATTCAACAATATGAAAATGTGTTCCTAATGATAATATAATAATCCAGGTAGAAGGTAATTCCAAGATTAACAAAATGTTACATAAAATTATTGATAATAATAGTGCAGTTAGCTTTATAAAAGATATCTCTCTTTCCTTGTTCTCTATCACAAATTGGGGGTAAATATCACAAATTATCAACCTGAGGGTTTTTTATAGGGGTCCGTGAAGCGGCGTTTTTCAAAGCGAAGCAACTGCGAACCGAAGCGGACAAAACAATCCCTTCAAATATGATGAATGCAACCCGCGGAATTTCGTGGCGTTGCGACTCACAATCAGCGAGCGTGCGGCAGTGGTAAATTTCATTGAACACCGGGAATTATGTGAAGGATACATTTATTAAATTTTCCCCCCTATTAAATTTTAATTACCGCGAGATCTTCTCTTCGCTTCTTCCAACCTAGCGCTTCGTTTCGCAAGATGCGAATCTTCGCAGACACCTAATTTTTTATCAATAGTAATTTTGAGAAATAAATTATTTATGAAGGTGGGTTTAGAGGTTCGTTCAATTCTTTTATTCTTTTGTACCTCTCGATCAAGGTTAAAAAGGACTGTCGGCGACCTACAGGAGTTGGGGGAGCATAATGCTCTGATAGTCGCTTGACCTCTTTGTCTATGTCTTCCGCAATACTCCTATTCAGTCTGAAAACCCCTCTAGGTGACCAGTCATCTGACTTTGAATCCTCACAAAAAATAGGTTTAGGGTTTGAATTGAGGGCAGATGAGTGGCTTGGACCCGCTGCTGCTTCCTCAGAGCAAATTGATGCTTCTTTTAACACAGGGGTGGTAGGGAAGTTTCCTGGAGTGAACATTTTCTTGGTAGTAGCAGGTCCTGAAAAAAAATAAAGGAATCATTTTTAAAATTAAGGACAAAATATCATCAAACAGCATACATGACTGTCAACAGGAATAGAATCTACCATGCCCAAAGACAAATTCCGAGTAGGTATAGAGATCTTTCCCCATTGAGTTGAGAAATCAGAATTAGAGTTTTCTGAGGAAAATGCTCTCTACTAAACTGCTGTGCTCAGGAAGAACGCCGTATGAACCTTCAGGCATTGCCAAATTTGCTTCAATTAAATAAAATTTATTGGGAAAGTTGCTAATATTTTTCTTCTAATGTTTCAGACAATTTTGTCCGCAATTTCATCCGAAACATCTGAAAATGTTAAGGAAAAATATGCTTAACTTTCCTCAAAAATAAATATTTTATCCGGGGAAATTTGACAACTCTCGAATGTTCATACGGCGTTCTTCCTTAGCATGGCAGTATACCTGAGAATAGGTTAAATTTTGTGCCAACAGAAGGCATGGAGCCTTGCGCATAGCAGATTAAAATTTTCGATAGTTTCATTTCAAAGCTATGTTCCTAGAGCTGCAATTTCCAAACCATAATGACCCGGAATTTTATTTTTTCATCACTGTAGGGACGATTTTCTCTTGCAACCACCAGAAAGCCGGCGTATATACATGGTAGCTGGAGGGTTACCATGGCGGTGGTGGCAAACAACCAAAGGCCATAAAAATAATTTCCTGGTGTATGTGCCATTGTGCCCCTAAAAATGTAGAGTCCCAATATACCCAGAGTTAAGACATCTCAATTAAGGTCGGGCTGAAAGTGGCGTAAAAAAAAATCCAATTCTGATTGGTTATTGCTCAAGAGTGCACCAAGATGTCAGTGGCTTAAATGTAAACAAAAAGAATGGAAAAATAACCTAATTGTGATTTTTCAAGAATAAAATTGTTATTTTCATCGCACCGAAATGAAAATAGATTAAAAAATAATTCACAAATCAATCTCATTTTATTTTAGTGCAACTTCTTTGGTTAAGTTATGATCGGTTTTGTTGATGGTGTTGTTTTTGGATGACAGACATTGCAGGATTCCTATTCCGTTTGGGTGCACACTTTTGTGACACCATGGCCAGCCGAGGCCAGCTGATAATCGAGATGTCTTAACTCTGGGTATAAAGGGACTCAGCTCAAAATGTAGTCTTGGTGATGTGAATATGGAGTACGCGCCATTGCTGCCATCCACTAACAACCTTTCACAGATCATACGCATACATGCCGCCCACTTAGGCATTCAATCTCTTATTAGATGCCCCCATTGTACTCCTCAATGAAGACCTTAGTCCACGCCTTTGGCAGGGCTGGTCTCCACCTGACTATAGAAAGAAACTACCAGGACTGAGTCTAATTTTAGTAGGCTATTTTGAGCATCTGCACCTGGGGCTTTTTTCATCGGAAAGTACATACAAATTGGTATGCATATAGTATTTTATCCTTTGAAAAGAAACTGTCCAAAAGTTACTGGGACCATTCAAGCCCCTGAAAAGCCAAAATTGATTACATTTTTGAAAAGCTTGACAGATTGTTTTCATTTTGGACTCAAACAATAGTGCATACATACATCCTACTTTATGGCTCTGAGGAAATAGCACATGAGCTTTTAACATGGCACATTTTCATGTAAGTTAACTCATACGAACCGAGCTCTGTTTAAAGGAACAGGTCAAATTAAAAAGCAATGACAATGGACCATGGGACAAAATGTGAATTCAAGCATTATGACACATATTTTCTCATTAAAATTGCACATGCATCACGATTTGTTCAACAGAAAGTACTGAAAGTAACTCCGATCAAAGGTATCAACGTTTTTTGAAGCATACATTCAAACTTTCCGCTCATAAAAAAATACCATAATTCACTCGAGTTAAATGGTGCACTGAATATTACTTTGAAAGTCCTTGCAATATGAAAATATGGCAACTTGGATATCAGTACTTCTGCTCAGCTATTGCAACATGAGTACACTTAGGAGAACGCAAGGTATGGAACGAGCAATGCTAATTGAGAAGACTGACAAACCTGTTGTGGTGCACGACTTGAATGAAGTAGATTCTGGTTTTTCATAAGAGCAGAATATTCAAATTTTTTGTGACCAGTGTTGAAAAAAACCTTAATATTTCGGTTGGGAGTTAATTGCAGTAATTTCTGATGCGCAGATTATGTACTGTGTGAAATTTTGAGTAGTAGTTTAAGAGTACATATATCAGATGCTAAAATTCGTACCTTGTCTGGAGGTCCATTGGGTTGCAACTTTATCTGAGCAAGGCTATTACCTTACCATTGGAAAAAGACTTCGGTTAGAGAAAAAGAGGAGGAATACATACTAGAAAATAATTACCGTTGTGACAGGGTGTGGCAACACCAGCCGTTTTCTGAGTTTTCAATTGATGAAGTAGTTTAGAGGCAAATTCTGAAATGGACAAAAGAAATCTCAATGACACGTGATTAGATTTCACTGATAATGAAAAATATATTGAATAGTATAATACTTAAGATAACTGAATCCATGAGAATGAAAACATACAAACTTGAAAACTTAAAAATGCCCAAATTTCATTAAAGATGTCCAGTTTTCATAAAAGCCATTGAGGATGGCACATATATGTTAACCTGGGCCTTTGCGCCGTCCCAAAGTAATTGTCCTTTGACTTAAAAAAGCTTTTTCTTAGACCAACTTCTTCACCTACTGCGCAGTTATTGTGTCTCTTGAACATTTACATTTTTCTGAGTTAGTATGTTTTCATCCTCACTGATTCAATTCTGAATTATGTTCAATCCATCCTTTGGCTCTTAGCCAAAATATAATTTCTTGGGAAAAAGAACTTGACTGAATTTCTTCACAGAAGAAACTATGAGGATTATTCAATATGTCAACAAGAATAGATTTATTTTAATAATCTCGGCCAGAAAGATCTTTGTTAGGATATACAAAGTTGAAGAGGCTATTTTGAGAGAAAATCAGACCACATGTGGCTGAACGCAAGCCATGGGAGTACACTGAAATTGGAGTAATATCTGGTTCCTCTCCTGGATCAAAGCATCTGGAAAAATTTTTGAGGTTTCTCAAATGCTGATGGAAACAATTTCAGCAAAGATGATCCATTAAAGGTGTCACAGACCCTCCTATACATCTTCGTTAAAATGATACCTAGGGTTGACACTTCATTTAAGGTGAAGAAGTGCTGATTAAAAAATGACTGAGCGGGGTCATTTTATTTTAATTTAGAGTGATGTTAGTGAGTGATTTTTTTGAAACAGAATGAGACAAGAGACGACAATGCACATTGCGATAAGTGATTTTCACTTGTACCATTAGATACAGCTACAGAACGCTAATGTACAACTGGGAGATGATCAAAACTAATTAGAACTTTTGCCAGATAAGTTCACAGCTATTTACTCTTCACCATTGAACACAATAGATTGAATTTCTGAGTCGCCCGCGGTCAATCCTTGATCGCTATTAGGCAATGGCAATGCAGACTCTTGCAAACCAAAAGTTAACCAAAGTACACCAAACTTATCTTACACAGGTTCTAATATCGACTTACTTTTAATGGCAGGAGAATCGATGAGAAATTCATATTTTATATTCTCAACTTCTTTATCAAGAGATGGCATTCTTATTTGAGGTGAGTCATTTAATAGATTTTTAAAAATAGGATCTGCCTCTTCATCACTATCTGTAAAAGTTAAAAGAATAGAGTAGGTAAACAACGAATTTACAGGACAGTTTACTAATCAATTAGAGAATTTAAGCAGATCAATGAGGCACTGAAGGAATCTACTTTCAAAGTCATTACTAATTGAATCAGGACATGCGAAAACAGCTGATGTCCATTTTTCCAGTCTTAAGTTCTTTTGAGTTCATAATACTTTTTGTAGTTGGTTGCAACCTTGATAGTGGCGATAAAACTCGTCTTCAGGTTTCCTCTATCCCAAAACGAATCCTTGCATCACTTTCATGGTTTTATCAACTCTTTAAAAACACTATATACTGTAAAAAACGTAAAATTTGAAAAATGGACATAAGATGTTTTCACACGTCCTGATTCAACTGTAAGATTTGATTTCTTCTGTGACTTTCTTTTGCTCTTTACAGCTTGGCAAACCTGGCAGAACTAACTTAAGCTACACATTCGTGACTCAGGTTTTCAAATTTTCAGAGGTTAAGGCCGAGTGAAATCGGTTTCTGCAGGTACAGCCGTCAGTTCCGGGAAACTTCGTTACCAGTGCCGAGATTTCAACCCAGGACCCTGACCAGAGTCAGAAGCGCTGACCACTGGGCAAACCCAGGCAGCAAATTTTTTGGGTAATTCTTTGAAGAGTATTACCAAAAATCAAAGTAATTCATTGGATATCCATTTAATAACTTCACTAGAACATTTTCTTACATCAATTTCACATCTATCCATAGTATAAACTTGAGTAACTCATCAAATTGAATTCAAAGGCTGGGTGTCCAACTCTTGAAAACAGGGTCACAAGTTCCTTTGGATCTCAAACAACCATTGCATGATTGATCCATTTGTAGATCAAATATTGTTTAATTTATACCGTTCATCATTGCAGGAAATTTTGTTTATCTTCTTCAGTAATAGAAAATAATTAGCTCCGAATGTTTTACGGCACTTACCATCAAATAATTCAACCTCTAATTCCTTGATTTTATCTGACAGGGTTCTCGTTTTTTCGTTTATCATTTCTTCTGAATTTGACAAATTTGTGGCCATTGAGCGTAGTTTTTCTAGTTCTTCTTTGGACTGCTCATACTTTTCTTTTAAACTGACCCCATCAGCTCCATCAAATGAGAGTTGAATAGAGCTTGTAAGTTCTTTGAAAAAAGTATTAACTTCCTTCATATACTCAAATAAATTAAGCTGTCTGTTTTCGCAGGGAGTCCATTTGTTTTTCTGAAAGAAAAAAAAATAGGATAAAGACTAAGTGAGAAGCAGAGAGACTTGTGAAATGAATCGGACAACATATTCATTGACAATATGAGATGAAGATCTTGTTGGATTGCCTTTGCTCACCGTGGTTCTAATAAGTAGTAACACTTAGCTCTAACAAAATTAGTTACCATCTTTGCAAGTGAACCTAGGGTCGCTTAATAAGTATGTTGGGAAATATTAAGAGGTAGTTAAAGTCAATAGTATAGGCAAGAGTGAAGTAAAGAGTGTAAGTGTGCATGTTTGACAAAGAAGGGCCAAGTTGGGACTTAGCAATGCTCAATTAGATTAAAAATTTCCATTTTCTTCTAAATTTTTTTTCATTCGGAAGGAAAACAAATTTTAATTGATCCTACAGTGCAGAACTTCAGAAACACTTGTAAAAATTTTCAAAACTTGCAAATTGATAATTTACATTTGCGCCGCAATTCATGCTCAGTAAAAAATTATCAAATAATTAGTCAGTTTTCTATTCATGTACCTACATAAAAAGTAGGCAAAGTAAGATTTTAGTGAATTAGTGCAAAATCGCAGAATTAAAACATCGAAAAAATTGCCAAAGAGCATTTCAAATATAAATTTCATCTAAGAACTGGACATAGTACATATGAATTTGTACTTCACCTAAGAAAATTTAAAGCATTTGGCTTGGTAACCCTGTCATCCAGAAAAAGACCAGTTTAGCTCAAACCTAACAAAAACATATCGACGGCGCGAGTCGGCAATCACATAACTCGTTTGCGGTGTCTGAAAATCTCCGTAACTATGTTATTTTTTTAAAGGAAAACAAATGGACATGATTCCTTGCAGATTTTGCAGAATTTTCCTCGCACATAGAAGAAAAATCACGGCAGTTTTAAGGAATTACCGTTGAGTAGTTTTCCGTTTAAAGAATAAAGTATGACAGGAAGTCTGCGACGTCGCAAATCGAGTTATGTGATTGCCGACTTTCACCGTCGATATGTGTCACATGAAAGGTAAGAAGTACTTCTACAATGAGGATCTACACATGGATAAAAATTTTCTTTTTTCATTTTATTTCATGCAAAAGCAAGGTATGGGAAAGAAATTGTGAACGTTGATTTTAATCTAGTGACTGAAAAGCTTCTGATCATTAGGCAGGATAATTTATTTTTTTTCTGTCATTTAAAAACACAAAAATCCATTTTGATAATTGTAACGAATTGGTCAAAGGCAGTCTGTGAAATGCCATTTTTCCGATGTGTAAACTTGGCTTACTGATCTTCAGGTGTAGCACAGAACGTCTCTATGGGTTTCAATTCCTTTCAGAATATGAGAGAAAATACGAAATGAGGTCCCTTTTCTTTTATTTTATCAATATCTACCTGTCAAAAATGTATTTGACTGGACTTTATCAATTTAGTATTTTAACATCCTAACATATACAAGAAAGATTTTAAACTAGAGTGCTATGAGCTAGCTTTTCTTCCATGACAAATACGAATATATCTGATACATAAACTACTGATTGGTAACTGCCAAAATGATCATTAATAACTCACCAGCCATTCTTCATAGATCATCTGATTTATGCTATCTACAAGTTCTTTGGGGTAAACATGAGGGCTGTCAAAAACATTTGAGTCTTTCTTTGACAGATCAATGCTTTGAAGAGCCTCTGAAAGCTTGTTCATGGCTTGCTTGAAATTTTGAATTTTCTGGAATTGAATCAGGTTAACATTTTCCAGAGCACCCAGTTCCTTCAAAAACTTCTCAATGCATTCGTTGTTAGACGGATCCATAAGATAATATTTATGACTGTTAGGAAAGCATTCATTTTGAAGGACATATTGACTTAGCTGCTCCACCAACTTTCGGTTTTCATCTTTTAATTCCCCAATTTTCTTAAGCGTTTGTTCTTCATGAATTTTTGATTGAGAAATGAATTCTTCAAATTTAGCATCCTCAGAATCTTGCTCTTGACAAAAATCTGCCTGCATTTTTAGCTGGGCTACAGGATCTAAGGTTTTTGAGTTATTACACATTTCTGCCGCACCTGTACAAAGAGGTAAAGTAGCTAATTAATAACATTTAAAGGGTTACCACAGAATTAAGAAAATGAACTTCCCTGATTTTTCTGTCACATTTTGGAAAAATTACCTGACAATTGCAGATATGCCTGATGATTAAAAAGGTATAACTTGAGATAGTTTTCATGCAAAACCTGATGTACAAAATGTCAAGACCATCCTAGAAAAAAAAATGAGGGCGACTTAACAAATCTTCACTGACATTTCCTAGTTTTCTCAGTGTTCCCTGACTGAAGCAGCCTTACATTTACCAACCTGAAACTTGATTTCTATAGAAGCCACGGCACAAAGGCTGAGATGTTTTTAAAAAAAGGAGTGCCCTGTCCTGTCATTTTTTCAATTTTTTTTTTTTTTTTTTTTTTTTTTTTTTGGAGAACATGGTGTAAACATGCTTGGTGGCAAAATTAGAGTTCATTATGAAAGAATACAAGACAGCTCAAGGTAGGGTTGTTGATGAGTATACATGGAGTATGAACAGTCATATTAGGGATGGGGGGCTGGTGCTGCTAATAAGCACTTTCCATGTGCTGAATTTTATGACTTCTATGCAGTGCTGCATCAACATTTTGATGTGCTATTGATAACTTTTGGTACATGGGTGCCCGGCTAGCCGACATAAACACTTGTCAGAGGAGCAAGAGATGAACTGTGATTTTGTGTTGTGATGTGGTTGATATAGTGATATGATAGTTAGAACAATTGTTTGGAGGCCAAACCCACTTGGGCTAGCTCCACGTGTTCAAATTCTTTAGTGCTTGGAGAGATAAAATTTTTTGCGTCTATCATTGATAAACTTTTGACTACCTTATGAACCATTGAACTATGAACTAATGAATGATTAATGAATGGGAAAAAAACCTAATCTACCTAATCTCCGGCCAGAGGATGTTTGGAATCGTTCCTTTATTGGTGACTCTTTAGAAATTCATTCAACTACTTACTTTTACTGTTTTTCTGAAGGGTCAAAGTCAATGCAGCTGTGGTTAAGCCTAACAAGAAATCCACTGCTTTAACCCCTCTTGCAGAAGACAAAATGAAATTAATGGTTTTCGGGATCTTGAATAGTTGTTTTCCTGAATTGAATTGCGTTAGAACTTTAACGGCACCAGAGCGAAAGTCTGCCTCATCCTTTGCATTGTAGAGGGGCCAGTGGATTTCTCTGGATTTAAAAACGGCTGGCTTAAAAATTGGCAATAAATAGTGCAACGCTTGCAGCATGGCAATTTTGTTAGGTTTATCGAACATTTCCTGTGAGCAGATATAATAGAAGATTAACGATTTGAAGAAGTTACCATGAACAGACTTTAACGGTAAAGTAGTATGCAGAAAGAAATGCAAGCACACTCGAACTTGTTATGGCATGTTACTGTTTCCTGACCCAGCTAGCACCACAAGACTTGTAGAGCAGCCTTTCTACAAAAGCAAGATTTTAACGTAAGCCACAATCTGCGCCAGTTTCAATATTTGTTTGGTTTTTAGTACAATTCAGTTTATGAAAAATTCCTTGCTCCTATACTTCTGAGATTCTCTCCTCATGAGATCAACATAAAAGATGAAGTCCCAATAGTACATATTGACAGTAAAACTACCAGACCAGGCATCTCCATTAACAAGGTTGCAGACTCTCTTTCAAACTTAATTTTTTAAAAAGCAAACTACTTAACATCAATTCTTGAAAACTTCCTTGATTTTTCGTCTCTAAGCAAAGAAAACTGTGTGAAAATTTCAAGGCATGATATTGATTTGTTCTTCCTAAAGAAGATAAAAAGATAGCGGAGATTTTTAAACACCACAAACAAGATACAGGGTCTGGTAGTTTCACAGTTGATATACGGAAATATTGACACCTCCACAACCATCTTGATAAATATAACTTTGGCATTCAGAAGATGAATAACTCCTGGGATGAGACTGTTAAAGAAATTAAACCAATGGATACTTAATTTTGATTATTTAAAGAGTGTCTGCTTCTTCTTCCTTCGCCCGACTTAATTACCTCAACAAGGTAAGCAACTGTGAACACCTCATTGTCTTATGCAAAATGTGTGTGATGCTCAATGAAGTACTTACTTAAATGCTAAACTGTCATGCAATATCAATTAAAAGACTCTGAGAATTATTGGAGACTTACTACTTTCATCAAGGTTTGAAGCTCTTTACTTGGTTTAATAAATTTAAAGAGCAAAGTAAAATTTTCCAGAAGTATGGCACTAATTTGATTGTCCTCCTGAAATTATGGAAAAATGTATACAGTTAGTGAGGATACATTGTTTTTAGACACTAGCACACATCAACTGTAATTAGGGAAGTAGTATGGGAAAGTTGAGTCCAAAATTAAATTTTATTATTTTGTTGTTTTCAATTATAGATTTTTGAATTTAGAAAAGTATGGAGCTTCTGAAATATATGCATTTTATACTTTTAATAATTTTCTTAGGATTTTTCCGTCTTGTAGAGTGATGACTTTTCAGTGACAGCAAAACAATTGGTATCAATCATGAAAAGTTGGCAGCATTTAATCTCAGCTAGGATCCTAAATGAACTTCATACATTCATGTTAAGATAAGTAAACACAACTCCGAGTATCATCCCCTACAATTTCTCATCAGATGTGGTAGGTCTTTGCCAATTTTATGTAGTTTAGATCTTTGCTCCTTCAAGAATAACACCCGTTACCCAGTTAGAGGTTTTTTCTCATTTTCTAGGTAAATACTTACTAAGAATTTAATAATAATACTGCGTATGCAATGCAAGACTGAGACAAGCTAACCTTGGGAATTATTTCCAGAACTTTTATGGCATTTGTAAGGATAGTAAAAGGGTAACAGGTGCTAACTTTACCAAGCAATGAGAGCACAACCATGAAGTAGGTACCTATATAGGGCTTTTTTATTATCCGTGGAACGCATGGAACGAGATGGTAGCGGTTCAGGTTGGTTCAACTGGCCTAACCGTGGCCTCAACCAACCTCAACCCACCTCAGAAGAGCGGTCCAAGCATTCCACTGGAATACATGGAACGCGCCAGTAGATCAAGATAAAAAGTGATGAGTACCATAGCGATCCTCTGCGGTTCGGATGATAAAAAAGCCCTCATAAGTTTCAGTATATTAACCTGTTGAATTAAAGGAGAAGCTGAAGAAGATAAGCCCAATTCACACTATCAACTTTTTATTTAACTCTTGAGAGCAACTTGACGTGAAGAAAAGTCGGATAGTGTTATACTCATAAGTACGAGAAAACGACAATTTGATGAAAAGTTGAATGGAAACTTGGATGTGACGTGACATTCAACCTTTTATGCAAATTTCTGTTCAAAGTTTCTTCTATTATGTTGGATGAAATCAAAGGTATACAAGAGGAAGGCCTGAAGCAAGACCAATCCACACGGGTCAGTCACTCCCGAGGACGAGTTTTAGAATTATACTGGGTAGTGACGTAGTATTGAGTGCCTGCAATGTATTTCTTATGGGAGCACCCATTGTGATGTAGCATTGAGTGCTGCGAGTTAGGGCTGGGTGGGGGAGTGGATTTCAAAAAAGCTGCGCAATGACTGACCTGTGTGGATTGGTCTTGGCCTGAAGGTAAGCCCAATTCACACTATCACAGGAGGCCGACCTACACTACAGGAGGCCGACTGAAAATATTGGAGAAGCCTTACCATTGCTGCAAAAGAATTCTTGGAGAAAGTTTACTGTTCACTTGAAGAAGAGTTCGCTATGGCATGGCATGCGGTCGGGAACGAGTAGCCAAGTCGACGATTGAACTCCAACTCCGCCCGCAGTGCAATGGAATTTCGGTGGGCCAAAATCCAAAAACTTATCAGTCAGTCATCAGAGATCGGTCAATCACCTGCTTATTTATCATCAATCAATTCACCTTCACCACTGAAAAGGAATAGAGAAAATCATCCGCGGTTTCTTGTTATCAGATGTCTACACAATGTTCATGATAAAGGGGTAAATAAAGAAAGTAATCTCTGATTGGTTAGAAGTTCCCGCCAAATCCACGGACTATAGGATGACCACGCAGCATGAAGGGGCCGTGAATCGCAACAACTTTGGGTCATGTAGAATTCATTCCCATTGGTTAGGAGACTGATAAGGGCTGCCTCTCTCATCAAAGATTATCAAGGACTGGACCAAAGATTACTAAGGACTGGACTCATTGGCCTCGCTCACCTACTGCAAGCACCCTCTTCTGTCTTTTCTCTCTCACCCTTGCCATGGACCAAGAGAATAAATAAGGACCCCCAACTCCGGTTAGCGCTGACATCAGCGCTCCCTGGCAGAGGGTGTAGTGAACTAAACCGATGATTGGGTCTTCCTGTTTATATTTCCATGCACCACCTATTTAGGCTTATCACTCAGTAGTGCTCATAGAAGTTTCTAGATCCTCGTATCCTCGTGGTCGCCCTGCAGTTTTGAAGAGTTTAGTGTGAAAAGTTTCCCATTTTCATTTCAATCTTCGTCAGTCTTCGTGTACATAAACTGGTATTAATGTGAAGTGTTATTTCTAACCGTTTTACTCAGCAGCAACTGCTGTTGAGAAAGCCAAAGGAAGTGTATATGTAGTGTGCAGCAGGAATCAGGATTGTACTTTTAGCTGAAGGCGCCTCTCTGTTAAGTGAAATCTTTTTAGTGAGAAATAGTGTTGTACTGATAAAAATCAACTGAGTGTCACAAAATCAAAGATACTTGACTTCAAGCATTACCTTTAATTTGATTATTAGCAAGTCTCTTTGATTCTGCGTCAGAAGTTGACTGAATCATCTTTGCTCGTGTTTTGATAAGATACTTCAAATCAAAGTCTTTCGCATTGACCTCTGCCGAAGGTATGTATCTATACAATTTCATTAGTTTGCGAAAGTAAAATGTATTAAAGTATCTACACAAATAAATAAATCATAGATAAACAAAGAACATTGCATGGAATAACATACTATAGAGGTACGATCGTGGACCGCTGCGGCGTTAGTTCACCGCACCCTCTGCCAGGTTCGCTGCGAGCGCGCGTTAACGGTTTTTAACACAGGGTAGTATAGGGAGTTGGGAGTCCTTATTTATTCTATTGGTCCATGCCCTTGCTTGAGTCGGTTTCGGTTACAAAATCAAAACAACTCAAGAGGAAAGACTCCTGGTTTCTAAGTTCCATTCTCTAATTTCTTTCATAATCAGAATTTTTTATCCTTTATAAATTTTCCAAACGCTCACTGACAGTTTTGATTGCTTCAGTTGGTAAGTAAAGGTATTAATTAGCCATTATCCGACATAGATGTTGAATAATCAAACGAAGCTGGTGCTGTGCACCAGTCGAAATGAGAGTACCTTTTTTACGGAATCAAAATAAAGGAGTACCAAGGTACCTCCTTGAAGACCTCGAAAGTCCATCATTCTCTCAGTAGTTACAATCAGCGATCTCCTCCCTCTTACAGATTCAACATTTATTTTTTAATGCTGCAATCACACGCTGAATGTGGCTTGGATGTGGAAGTCATCGGCCCGATGCCTGGATTTTGCGCGTGTCGTACAAACTTTAGCAACGATTCTCAGCGAATAGATTTGATACACATCCGGATATAAATAACTCGAATTTGCGAAATTTCAGCTGTTGAGCGATGACTGCTGACTTCCACATTCAGTCGCCAGATTCAGCGTGTGACATGGGCATATGTTGTCAGGTATTTTGAAATACCTGCCAACGTTAAAAATTAAGTGAAAGTGTATTCTCCGGCGGCTAAAAGTCAGGCCAATACTAGCATGTACAGTTATGAAACTTCCTTTTTCAGTTGTACAGTTTTACCAAAGCAACACTGTATTGTTCAACTTCATACTCGGTATAATTGAATCATTCCATCAACACAGGCCTTAACTTTACCGAGATATTTCAAGGATGTTGTCAAGAAAGCATGAAACCTCTCATGATGCTTTTGATGCATAAAATCTCTTCATACCTTCCTTTATGTGAAAGAATCTGCCCCTTTTATTTTTGCATCAAAAATCGATTTTAAGGTAATTCGTCAGGCTCAAGTGACGTGGTCAAATTGGCATGCGATATATGGTATCGATTCGGTCAAAATTCTTGGCAGATTTTGAATTTTTAGCCAAGGAAAAGATGATAGCCCTTGCGCATGAGCCTCAAGAATCATTCTAAACCGAAACATTTGCATAACGTTGAGAAATGAAAGGAGAATTCTGTTTGGGAAAAACATCGCATTTGATACAGTTATTGATTTCTGTACTGCATGTGAGGTTTTTTTTTCCAAACAGGATTCTGCTTTCATTTTCCCCCATCTTGCTAATTTTTTGGTTTGGAATGATTCTCTAGGCTCACAAGCAGGTGCTATCTTCCTTTTTTTGGCTAAAAATTCAGAATCTGCTGAGATTTTTGACCTTATCAATACGACATATTGCATGCCAGTTCGACCACGTCTTTTGAGCTTGACGAATCACCTGAAAAAGTTAAGATGGTTGTTCTGCCATCTCTCTTCAAAAGTGCTTCAAGTAACTCATTTTTACTGACTTCCTGGAAAATCTCTCTCTAAGAAGTATTATTTAGAACGTTTTATGCCACTGTGAACGTATATATTCACTGAACTCAAGATTCACTAAGCATGTAAACAAGGTATGAAACAGAGCACAACAGAACATTTTGTCCCTTAAAAATTTCTCTGGGAAAATGGATCCTCCTATGGGAAGTGTGGCAATCAACTCCTGAAGTCCTGAACGCGATAAAAGTAGTAGGATTAACATTGGTTAAATGGCAAAAATACAAACAACATCATATGTTTAATCTAACTTTCATTTCAACTATGCTTCAATGCTTCAAATACTTGCCAATATCACCTTTAGGAGTTGGTCTCTGATTTTCCCATGGTGTGAATTGTTTTCCAGCCAAATTTTGAAGTGAAAAATGTGACTTTCTCAATCAGACCTTGTGTACAAGGCCCATTAGACCTCAGTTTGTAAAACTAAATCATAAAATATTCCTCCTAAGTAAAATTGTCTTTTGAACTTTTTTGTCATTATCAGTGGGGAACCATTTGTCAAGTGCGCATCATGTCTAGCGAATCTCGAACGGAGTATAAGCTCAATTCTCCTCCAGAAGATGGAATTTCTTCTGTTAAGTTTGGACCAAAATCATCCCAATTCCTTCTTGTTTCATCATGGGATTGTTCAGTAAGATTGTACGATATTGTAGCAAATAGTGTCAGGATCAAGTATCAACATGACGCCTCGGTACTGGATTGTTGTTTTCAGGTTTGTCCCTCTCTTCATAAGTTATTTGTCAGTCCATGATGTACATCTGCTCACTCATTCTTCACTTTATAAATTTTATTTGCTGGCCAAAGTGTGAAACTGTATATCTGAATTGCACTATTTCAAAATGTCCGTTCCTATTTGATTTTTTTTTGGAGAGAAACAAGTCAACTTTATAGCTGGAAATTTATGCAGAATATTTTGCTGACAGAAATCATTGCAGTTTTCAATCATATACGTTAACTAGTTGTTCAGAGAAAAAATATGATTGTGAAACTGTAGAAATGCGCATCTCGGTTCGTAGCGTTGCAGACTTCCTGTCATTCTTTCTTTCTGCGTGGAATACCACTGAACGTCACTTTTTGAAAATGTCGAGTGATTTTTCTCATATAGAATATTCTATGAAAACTTCAATGTTGGTTCGGTCTCCTTTTAAGAAATAAAACAGGTGCAGAGATTTTGAAATGCCACAATCTAGATACATATTTTCGCAGTTTCGCTGCCGATGTAGCAGTGTTATTATAACAATAGCTCACAGAGCGGAAGGCTGCGCTGTGAAAGTGGCTTAATGTATGTAGTAAAAATACCAAAGTTCCTGTAATATTGCTCACAACATCATTTCTTACAAGCTTTTTTGCGTAAATAAAATCTATAAGCATTGTAAGTACCTAATATTACCAATACCTAATATTAGTGTTTCCTCTTTTGATAAAATAGAATGGAAGCAAAAAATTTTAAATGCAAGAATGAGAATAAAATGAATATTTGGCAAATGATTCAGGAGTTCTTGCAGTTTCCCCTGCAATGTATGACATGCGAGAGGACTTGAATATACTTTCTCTGAGGAAACCCTGCTATTGATTATCCCTTAATTTTTTACAGGATGCTGTTCATTCATTCAGTGGAGGATTAGATAATACATTAAAAATGTATGATTTCAACAGCAATACAGGTACGCTGCACGAAAATTATCTTTTCCGTAACAAAAACTAAGAAGTTAGTTCCCATACTGTTCCAGTTTCAAATGTACTTTTAAAGGACTCAATAGTCAACTAGCACCTAACTAACTATAAATGAATTTTAAAGAATTGTTGCTGACCTGTTTTTGCCCTCTTCCTAGTTTTATGGCTCTGAATGCCGTACCTTCTCTCTTTTTAAAAAAAGTACGCTCTATTCCATAACTTTAATTATTAAGTATCAGTCAATTTATGTAACTCAGTTAGCACTAAAAGAATGATAAATATTGTGCAGGTGTACAAAAAAATTTTCCATAGTTGAATTTAATACGAGGTCTGGCTGAAAAGTAACACCTTCGAGCTTATAACTTGAGAACCATTGAAATTTTTGGCAAAAACTTAAACTATTCTGAAAGTAGACATAATTACATGGTTAACAATGGTTCTAACAATTGTTGCCTTCACTGCGTTGCCAAACTGCTGACAAATGCTCTCCAATCTGTTGAAGGAAAATTTTATGGATGGCAAGTTATAACTCTGCCTCGCTAAAATTGGACAAATTCGAGATAAACCTAACAATCAAATTACAGAGAAAGATAGTACAACGTATTTAAAGGCATCATTGAGTATCAAATCAGATTTACAATTATTTTTCAATATTGTCTCCCCTAACTTCAACGCATTTCTGCTAGCGTTCAACAAGTTGTTGAAATCCCTTGCTGTATCTATTTGTCATAATATCTATCTGTCATAAAGTTGATTTTTCCTGGTCGTTTCCTCCCACAGAAAGCAAACTAGGCACTCATGATAAAGCCATTAGATGCATTGAATACTCTACAGAGGTTAACGCAATTTTAACTGGTAGCTGGGATTCTACTGTAAAGATGTGGGATCCTAGAACATCAAGAGCTGTTGGTACTTACACCCAACCAGACAAAGTAAGTAACAATACATTTTATTGCCAAATTTGGCTAGCTAAGCTGCAAAAAGTATGGTAATTGATAAAAAAAATTGAGCTACAAGCTAAAAATAAAAAAGTAATATTTCAAACTACATGCTTATAGGTGAGAAATAATAGATGAGAATATTTCTTATCTATGTACGTGTAGTATGAAATATTACTCTTTTATTTTCGGCTTGTAGCTCAATTTTTAATCAATTACCATGTAAGTAACAATAATTGATTGGAGTGCCTGATTCCGTCTAAAAATCGATAAAATCTGAATCGATTTAGGTGTAAAAATCGATTTTTTCTGAATATTGATTAAAAAAATTGACTTTTTCCTGTCACTACCAGAGATGCCAAAATACATGTTGCTGTTAAGTGAAATACCATTTTCCATGAAAATTTTACGATTTTTCGCGGGTGAAAAAATCATTCCAAAAAAAGGAGGAAAATGTCTGTGGGGAGTGGGAAAAGCGTAAGCCCATAAAATAAGCTTTGGCAGTAAAAAAAAATTAAAAAAATCTCAAAATTGCATTGATTCAAGGAAGAAATCAATTCGATTGATAAATTGGGGTAAATTATCATTTTGGCTGCTTTATTTTCTGATCAGAAAATCGATTTTTTGGTCGAATTGGTTATTAAGCAGTATCTCTAGATTGTGTCAGCTGCAAAGGATATTCCATAAATGCTGAAATTGACACTTTGCTCCAAGAATTTCTACCTGTCGAGCTGATCTTGGTCTCCTTTGAAGGAAAACTTTAAAAGAATTGGATTGAAACTGGGAATATGAGACTAGCAGCAGAATGCATTAATTCGTGATGAATGGGAGGTCTAGGATGTGATTAAATAGACCAACATTAGATAAAGGAATTGGTTTCAGCAAGTAGATAGAATCGAAGATGATTGACTTGTCAAACTTTATGTACGTAGTAAGATGTAATGTTGTTCAATGTATCTTTTTTAAAGATAAAATGTGATCAATTCTTCTTTTTGTGGTTTAACAAAATTCGTTCCAACAATTTTATGTTACCCATCAGGTTTACACAATGAGCCTGTGTGCAGAGAAGTTTGTTGTCGGTACTGCGGGTCGCAAAGTGTATGTCTGGGATCTAAGAAATATGGGCTATATCCAGCAAAGAAGAGAGTCCAGCTTGAAGTATCAAACTCGTTGTATAAAATGTTTCCCCAATAAGCAAGTAAGTATCCATGTTCGAGTTTCCATATGAAAAAAAAAAAAAAGGTTAGATACCTAGTTAGATATCGCAAATACATTTTGAATAATTATCAACTTTTTACTGGAGCCCTTAATATTCGGAAACTTTTCTCATGTCCTGTGAGACATTGTGTCTTATTAAAATTTCGAGTTTGTTTGATTTTTTGTAGCTAAATTGTTCTATAAATAGCTCTGTTAACTGAATCGAATTCAAAGAGAATCAACACAATCACAGTGTTGTAAAATTGCATAAGATTTTCTTCGCTTTTAAAAAAATTGAAGGCATGCTCTTTTGATGAAATTTACAAAAGAGTTTTCTTTTGAATTGACATTTTTTTTGCAGAAGAAGCAAAAGAATTTCAGCAACTAGGTATTTTTGAGTTGAAGATGAAGATGCACAATTTTGACAACATTATAACTACTAAGTTGATTCCTTCTGTCAAATTCCATCAGACTCACAATTGTAATTTATCATTTCTCATACATTCTGAAACTAGCTCAGTCACCCCTAAAAGAATATAATGGAAGAACGCTCATCCTTCCTTGTTCCTGTAATTCTCCCCATAAAAATGCGCAATGAAGTCCTTCTTGTAAGAGACACGGAAGAATATGTGGATTACATTTTGCAATAAGGAACCACTATTTCTGGCCCATTTTAGAAACAACATACATGCCTTTAGTTCCCTTATGCAGATATGTGCTTTTATGGGAGAGCCAGAGATAGTGGTTCATTTTTGCAAAATGTAATCCGTATTACATTTTTCATTTTTTTCATACAAAAATTGGATTGCATGTTGCAAAAAAGAACCAAGAGCATTTCAACGTCGCTAGAATTTTGCAACTTTCATTCTTTCCAATAAAATTACTGAAATATTGCAAACAATTAAATTCACCAAGGTATTTTTGTTTTGAATGTATAGTTTATTAGTAGTAAAGATAAAACTTGTTTACATGATTAATTTATATTCGCAAGGTAAAAATAGTTCCACAATTTTAGCAACATTTGAATGCTCTTGGTTCCTTCTCGCAAAATGCAATCCAATTCATCTCTATATAGCAAAAGCCACTATCGATGGATCTGGTGTTTTAGGGTTATGTCCTGAGTAGCATCGAAGGAAGGGTAGCAGTCGAATATTTGGACACTGGAGTGGAGATGCAAAAGAAGAAATATGCCTTCAAATGCCATCGTATCAAAGAAAATGGAATCGAGCATATATTCCCTGTTAATGCTGTCAGGTATGATCAAACATCTACTAAAGTTGTGTTTTTTGCAGACTTTTTCATGATAGATATTTCTTTCAAGTACAAGTTTTGTCACAGAAAAGCATTCTTACAAATTTGAAGTTCCCTTTTGACAGCTTCAGATCAGTCAAGAAGTAACATAAATACTACCGGCCGGATACGATTTTTGCGGGTATCCGTATCCGGCTGGATAATTGCGATATCCGGTTTATGGACCCGCCAAATAGTGTTTTTAATGCTGGATACCTTGGCGAAATATCCGGTATCAAATCATGGTATCAATCATCCGGTATCAAATCCGGTAAAAAATCGATATTCGTTTCCGATGACGTGGAAAATCTATTTCGGCCCAACTCTAATAAATACTTTTGAAAAAATTAGAAACCAAGATAGATGTTGGCTCTTTTTTTTCTACGGTTTTCTTTTATGTTTTATAAACAGCCGATTCTTTAATGACACACCTGTCTCCCTGGCACTCATGGTATTTCCATTGATTATACTTGTGAAACATTTTTTTCTCATCAGTTGGAATTACTTTTGGAATTTCTTATGAAATTAGTATTCAAGCATAGAATTTTTTCACTCCAACTTTATAGAACATGGACGATATTAAACTCAGCTTCACCAGTAGATAACTTACTTACAGCAATACTGATAATTGTAGTTCCTAAATTAAATGATTTTTATTTTTCGTCTTTTATTTTTCTATTAGATAACGCACTTTTTCTGTATCCCCCCGGTGTAATGCTTTTGTGACGTAGATCTCTATCCTTTAACTCATAAAAACAAAATGTTGTAATGCTCTCCTCGATCTCTCCGCTGTCCTTTAAGGGTTATGTAATTTAGGGGCGGCTCCTAAGATTGAAAGCACTTTAAGACACGCTCTCTCATCAAAATTTCAAAAATTAACTGTTGAATGAGAATTTTTTCGCACAAACCATGTTCTACAAGAGATTTTAATCTGAAAGCAGAAATCGTAATGCTTAAATTTGCACCCTGTCTAGTGAATCATTATCTTTTAGAATCTTCTTCTTAGGCATAATGCTTGCCCACATTACTCCACTGCCAAATGTTGTCCCCATTTTAAACCTGGCCATCAATTCTAACGTTTCTGGAAAAATGTATAACCCGCTTTGTAATTAAAATTAATCCAATCAACTTTGGTACACTTTTAATCCATGGCAAAAAATGACCGATATATGTTTTTTCTTTCAGTTTTCACCAAGGGTATAACACATTTGCCACAGGTGGCTCTGATGGCTACGTCAATATATGGGACGGTTTCAATAAGAAGAGATTATGTCAATTCCATAGATACTCTGCCTCCATCTCTTCCCTTTGCTTCAGTCAAGATGGTACGTATCAATTTCAATATTTTTTCACAACATAAATTAGAAATGTATCTATTTTGAAAATGTATAAAAATCATGAAAAGCAATTTTTCTTTAGTGCTTTGAAAAGATAGTGCCCTAAATTATGCCTGAGAAGTTTTTTATTTATTTTTTTTTTTAGTCGACCGATTGTATTTTATGCTTTTCCTTTCATATGCCCCAAAAACTGTTCAAAACTCACCTTTGAATTTTAGGAGCCATGTGGCCCATTAACCTCGATTTTTAGGGGCCATTTAAGATTTTTTAGGGGCCCAGTTGACTTTTTGCCTACATATCACGGGGCATTTAGTGGAAAGTTAGATGCAAGATGTTTTAGATACAGAGTTAATAGTTGTAACTTGGGGAAGACAAAAGCACTAAGAATGAAATTGGGAATAATAGAAAAATTTCTGCTAATGTACACAGTCTCTCCCCTCCCCTCGTCCTGTTCAGCACCGATCCTCATTCTGTTGTGCCGCCGCGCACGTTTGTTTGCTTTTTGCAAGTTCAATATCAATCCGGTGTGGTGCCGTGGGCTAAAAATTTGAAAAATCAGCAAACAGAAAAATTAGGAGTTTTTGGGGCAACTTTTAGTGGCCACGTTGGCGCAGAGTCTTCATTTTTTAGGCCCCATGACTGACGTTCGCGCCTGTGAGTTTCGAACACTGTGTGAAAAAGTCAAGAGTCAAAGTCACACGATCAAATTGAGCCTCAATTCTTCAAGGTGAGGTGTTGTGATTGACTTATTTGATGACTTTGACCAATCATAGCACTTGACTTTGGTATGTTATTGGCACGGTTTGATCATGTGACATTGATCAAGCATGTAGTATTTACATTCTGTTGGCAAGAATGTAAATTACAACCTAATTGTATTTTTAAATCTGTTCTCTCAATTTAAAGCTTAATTTCTAGCCCAGCAATGAAAGGATCAATGAAACCACTGTCAAAAAGTAGAAAGAGATGAGCATCAATAGGACTTCCATGAATAGGGTGTTGGCTCGGTAACTTAAGCCGTTGCCGCTTGAGAGAGTGCGAACTACTTCTGAGTGTGTTAATTTGTTCGAATCTCTAGAAATGGAAATTTTGTCCAAAGATTAGCAAAGCGTAAGGGGGGGAAAAAGTCCAGTTCAAAGTTTTGTTTAGAGGTCTAAGAATTCTAAAATTTTGAAGTCCAGGAAAAGCAGAAGTCAGGGTCAAAACATTGAAAAAATGATGAAAACCCTGTTAGTCTATATTAACTGTTTGGCCTTGTCTCCACGAGCCGTTTCACGAGATTTTTCCCAGGGAAAAATCCTACTTACCAAGTTTGGAAAAATATTGAGTTAATCAATATTTTTCCCAGTACCAAGTATGGTACTTGTAACCCTAGGACCCACTGAGAGAAGAAGAAGAAGTGAAAACGAATTGTGCGATATTTTATTCATTACTACATTGTTAATGATTGTTTAGTTAAAATAATGTGTCTAATTGTCAATTGAGTGCATTTATTATTATAATCCCGGTTAAATACTCGACTTTAACTACTTTATCTTCCCGCGCAAACTAGTCGCAGGACTGTATGAGCCCCGTCCCGTGGAGACGGTAACTGGGAAAAATCCCAGAAGTTTCATTCCTGCGATTCGAACTTGGGACAAATCCCATGAAAACGTCCCATGGAGACAAGGCCTCAGACTATAGCACAATTGAAGAAAGAATATTATAATCAAATGCTTTATTTACTACTTAAAATAACAACATCGTTTTAAACCCAGCAACCAGAAAGTTACCCTCTGAGAATCCCTAATCTACAAAATATAAACCTTTAGACAGTTATCCAAGACACTGATTCCTTTAAATGGAATCCATCAGGGCTTGCGTTTTTTTTAAATGTAGCCTACTTTTGCTGTGCCTTTGACCGTTTATAAAAGATATTAAAAGGAAAAAGTCCCTTGATTTTTAATTATGATTTATTAAATAGTCTTTCCCTCTTTTTTTGACAGGATCGGTCTTGGCAATCGCTTGTTCTTACATGTATGAAATGGACACACCACCAGATCCATACCCTGAGGAGAGTATCTACATCCGACACGTCACGGATCAAGAAACGAAGCCAAAATAAACATCAAACCTTCCTCTCTCTGATTCTTTTATGTAAAAATTACTCAGAAATGAACCATTTTAAATTAAGACATTCAATTTTAAGATTTTTGTCCTCTGATTCATGATGTGTATGATTTGGAAAAGTTCTTTACAGGCCTTCCTCATAATCAATTATAATTTTTGATTGATAGATTTTGGCATTAATTAAAGGAGACACAAAGTAAATTCTAGATATAAGTATGCAAGGAGCAGTGGTGATTCTAGCAAGTTGGCAAACCTGTTAATACTACATTTAAATCCATTGAATATATCTTCTTTCCCTGTTTGTTTACTTTTTTTAGTTCCTGAAAATAACACTCTATTGACACAGGCAAGGCAGCTTTTGTCACCTAGAATCGATTTTTTATTGCACACTCAAATAAAGAAAAAGCAGTGCTGCCAACTTGAAAAAATAGCCACTGCCTAGGAGCAGCACTAAGCTGAGCCCAAGCAGCACATTTTCTCCTGTCAAAATCAAACTCGAGAAAATATTTTTGAATGTGAACTTCAGTTGTAACATTGAGTCTAATAGAGAACTGATGAAACTTCTAATCTCTTTTTCTTAGCGCGATCTTGATATGACAAGGTTTTTTTAGCTTGAAGTCAGCCTGAATGTCATTTGCATTTTAAAATGAAAAAAGTGAATTGGCTCTTACTATAATTTTTTACCAACGAACCTTCAGTTTTGTCCTCTTTTCTTCTTTCACTGTTTCCTTTCTTCAGTTCCTGAAAAGAACACTCTATTGATTGTCTTATCATCTTCATCTTGTCTGTTATTCTGAACCATTGAATCGTATTTTGGTTGCAGAACTTAAGTTTTCTATTCGTAACTATGTAACGTTTAAGTGAAGTTGAACATCTCTAAACTGAACTTACAGTTAAAGGGTAGTCCTAAAAGTAAAAAGACTGATACTGCAGACCCATAAAGCCACTCCCCTGCAATAGAATGGAATTTTCATTTTTTCTGAAATGGGCCCTTTTTAAAACGAACGATTCAATTATTTTATTGTGTCCCTATGTAAAAGACACAGAATTCTACATATCAGCAGTCATGTTAGCTTCCTGTCTTTTCAAAAGCACATTAGCACCTAGGAAATAGCTCTACTAACATGGCATTTCGAAGATCCTTCAGCATAATGAAATAAATGTCAATCTGTCATTCGGAGTGAGAGAGAGGAGGACAGTATTCCCAGTTGCTGAAAAGATGATCTTGTTGACTTTGCACTGTGAGATACAACACTGTCTCTCACTAACTCACATTCTTAGAAGTGTCATGCAGATGGTATTATTTCTTTGGTGACAGTGTGCAAGCTGATGTTCCCATAAAAGATGCTTGATGAAGGTACCTGTTGAATACTTAATGTTTGCAGCAATTCATAGCTAAGTCAGGTTTTGAATTCTAAGTAATCATATTGATTTGAACCTTGCTATTCTGTTCACAATTGCGTATTACTGTCTGTCCCCAACCTAAGATATTTATTATATGAGATGGGTACTTACTGTAATCTTGAAAAATGTATTTTAAGCGAGATCTCAACCATTCAACCTCTTGTAGAAAGGTTTTAATTTTTAATTACAGTGAATTTCTACTTTTTATCAGTTTTATCTTTTAAAAATTTCCTTGTCAACCATGTTGTGATATTTAAGGAGGACGATTTATTGGCCCCATTGATTCAAATGTCAATTAGAATTTGAAGACTCATCATCAATAAAAGGCCTAGTGCCAAAAAATTGAAAATTGAGTTAGATGTGGCATTTTCTTCCAAGAACAAAAGACTGCATACTGCGTCACGGGCCAAGTGCCATCAACTTAAGAGTAATGCGTATGGAGTCCGAAATATAGCAATAGTGGTAAGTTCAGGGGAATTTTTCAGAAATTAAAATGTGAATTACTTTAAATCTACATTTTGACCCTTATCCCAGTTATTGATGCTAAGTCTTCATTCATTGAACTCCAACTTCCAAAATCGATGCTTCAGAAAGCTACCAAATTCTTTACATTAATGAAACTACCAATAAAAAACTTGAAAACGCCAATAACCCAATTTCTCTAGATTTTTCACACTGTGTCATGATTTTTGCTACATCTGACACATTGCAATTATTGACAGAATGAATTTGGAGGACCATATCTCTGAGTACTGAGTTAAACATCCTTCATTACATATCAGCATCTACTAACAGTGGGCAATTAGTAAAACACCACTTCAAAATTAGAATAAAGTGTGTTTCATCTAAGTGAATACTTAGAATATTACAGAAATTTTATCCTCTCAGGCACTTTTCACAGAGGCGTTGTTTGAATAAAACGAAATCAAATTTTTCTACTTATCTCCCGTCTTCATTTTAGAGTTAAAGGTTCAAATCTTCAAATAATAAAAAAATGATTCTCCCCCTCCCACCTTGAAAAAGAAAAATTAAAGACATTTATTTTGATAGGTTCCGTTGGAATTAGGTTTCAGTTTACAAATTTCTTGTAAATATGAGTTTCGCTGAGTGGTTCAAGGAGGAAGAAAAAAATAAAAGAAGGACAACTTGCTTGGTTATTACTTCATATTCGAAACAAATATATATTTAACACTTTAAAGTGAGATTTTATGCACGAGTGCAATAGCTCTCATCAATATAATTGAAGTCAGCATGCTTAGAATTAGAAGGTACATAATAATAGACTCAGATCTGACATTGCAGAGAAGCAGTGGCACAACTCTCTACTAAGACTTATCTAATTATATTATCTTCTTGTTGCGCTGCTCTCTCTGTCATTCTGTACTTTTCCTCACCTTTGAGTTCAACGCATGCTGATTTATTCCATACCGCTGAGAGAGAATAAAATCATAATTTTTGGTGACAAAATAACTCACTCGCTTCGAGTGGAAAATGTTTAAATGCACCAAAGAAATTAGCTGGTAGTCAAACTATCACTTAAAGGGATCAGGAACCCTTTTGTAGCAAGCCATGAGCTTTAGGCCATTAGTCCTGGATACCTTCTGTCCTTCTTCGGTGCTTGCGTAGATTTTCTCCACTACTGGGTCGGCTTTTAATTCTTCTTCTGTCAATTTTTGGAAAAGAGGGTGTTCTGTGAAATGTGAATCAATCCAAGAGTGGAGCATTGGAATATCCGTGATAGTGTACACAATTCCCTTTTAAGAAAAGAAAAAAAGAAAATTTAAATTAAAACACCATGCCAATTAAAGGAAATAAGTGTTAAAAGTGGATGATTTTTCTGGTGCTCAGTGAAAAAATCGTTTTTCAAACGTCCAAAAAGCAATGTTTATTACAATAATGTCTGCTTCAAAATGCTCACTGTGAAAATTAAGTCTTCTGCGAAGAATATATTACTCTTGATTCTTTTCAAGGATGTGAAGACTTGGTTATTTATGGCCGTAAGTAAAGGAGGTAGCTAAAACTGGAGATATTAAAAAGAGCAGGAGTAGGTATGGGTGTAAGAATATTTACATCACTTCACAAATCAGAGTAGAAAATAATTAATAGCTAAAAAATAATCCATATTATACATGCGACAGAGATTTCTCAGTTTACTTAGAAGTTTGTAAGGAACATCGTAGGTATCAAAAAATATCAAAATTCAGCTGACACCGAATTCCTTGGTATTCGTCCTTTTAAAATAATTATAATTTTCGGGTTCAAACAGTTGTGGAGGGGGAAAAAATAAATATTGCTTTCTGATTAGCCTCCTTGAATGTTGACCAGTCAGAAATTGTTGTTATCTCACCCCTTCTTTCAGAGCATATGCGTACTCCGCTAATGTTCCTCGATTGATGACACGCCATCTGTGCTTATTCCTCTTGAAGTGTGGATCTGGATACAGGAAGAACATTTTCGACAATTGAGCTTTTTTGAAATAGCAGGGAAAATACTTCATGACGTTGCTTCGAATGCAGGCTATATTCTGGTATTGATCCGGATGCTCAGATCGGAGATTCTTTATTTTGTCTATCACAAAATCTGAGACTTTGACACGAAGTTCCATGCCTAAGATTAGGGTATCCGGGAACATAGGAGACAGAGCAACTGTAAATAAGAACACAAAAAAATTGGAATGATTTGATTTTGAAGGATATAACACAAATAAATATATTGAGAACTAAAACGTCACCACATTTCATGGGTATTAGTGTGTATATGATCAGTAAGTGATCCTTGATTCTACAGGGTCTAAGACCAAGCCATGTAAAACTTTTGGCTCTCAAAATATTTTCACTATTCCACAATTACAGGGCCTTTTGATGATTTTACATACCTGCCTGAGCCCATTTTTCGGCATTCCTGAAGAGGTCTCCCAGCTGCTGGGGTGGCATACCTAGGAGTGTTCAAACGAATTCTTGTCGGAACACTATCGATATCATCTCTTATTGAAACTGGCGGCAGTGGTGATGATATCGACAACAACCGGCCTTATCGGATTTTTGGAAGCTCGAACTCAATGCATTGTTGCCCTGTGCGTCGGTTTATCAGATTGCCTGGCGCGGCGGCACGTGAAATAGATGTGCAAATGGCAACAGCTTATTTTTGTCAGCTCCGAAAACTCTGATCGCTATTGGCGAGAGCGCTTTTATCGTAACTTATTCTTAACGGAACTGTCTCGGTACCTTACCGATAACCGATAAAACAGCCCTAGGCATTCCTTCAAATTCTAATCTCTTAAACATTTATTTATTACTGCTGGAACCATGGAAACAAGACTGGATACAATACCTCAGTTTATTTTTGTGTGATGTCAATGCTTAAGTATAGATCCTTGACTTAAGACCACCTACTCTTTCTTCTCTGAGAACAGACACAGATGACAAGCCCTCTTGCTTTAAAAGCAATTAGGTACTCAAGTTTTATTTGCCTGAAAAATACATAGAATGATACCATGCTTCTTATTTACTGCGACTGGCCAAAAAACACACCTGATAGAAAGATTGTAATTTTCAGTTTAAAAAAGAAAACTTACCTAGTAATCCCCCGTAACCGCAGCCAAGATCAGCAAACTCTACTTGCTTTGTTTTGTCCTTCGGGTTATTGAAAAATGCAGGATAAAGAGATCCCCAGTCCATGACTGCTGGAGTTCGAGGGCTGAAATGGAAAAGTTCATGATCAAACATTGACCTTATCTAACTCACAACGGCACGGAGAATATCTGAAGCAGTTATATCAAAATTTGCTATCTCAATTGCATCCCTGCTGTGATTGCCCAGTCTCACTGATACCTTAAAGATAGGGTGCACACCAAGTAAGTTCATGCGCTTTTAGACTGCAACAGAAAATCTGCCATCATGATTCTTCTATTTAATTTACATGTAAAAGTGGCGTCAAATGATCTTCTATCGCAGTCTAGAAGTACACCAACTTATTTGGCGTAAACTCTAGCCTATTAGATGCTGTCGCAATCTGACTTGGTGTCTCGGTTTAATTTGGTCCAAAAACGTACATCTAAGTGAAAGTTTTAGGAAAATGTGAAGAAAAAAAGTCAGTCATCAGTCTCCAAAGATGCATGTACGGCACTCTTTAGTGCTTTTTTTGTAATCCGAACCACAGAGGATCACAATGGAACGCCTCACTTTTTTATCCCAGTCCAGTAGGCTGACTGTTGAAATTAATGGACAAAGCAATAGATAAAGAAGACAAGCTGAGAATAAAGGGATCCTATTGGTGGAAGCAATGGACGAAGGATGTAAGTGGTAAACTAACAAACGGGAACCCGCGGGAGACTCTGTGGTTAGTCCATCACTCTCCTTTTCAGTCTATAACAACTACCCGTTGCAGCCAATAGGATCCCTCCAAGTTCCCTATGTCTTCTCTGACTATCAATTTTAATGATCAGCCCATTACTTGCATACCGGTGGAACGCTAGGATCCTTCTCTAGAGGTGTGTTGAGAGTGGATACGTGCGATCTTAACCTCAGTCGAACCACTACAGAATGTAAAAATCCCGATCCATAGCGTTCCATGGATTGAAAAAAAAGGCCCTTTTATCCATAAAACAGAGCCATTTACGCTATAGACTTCACGCTATAGAGTTTGAAGTAGGAACAGTGATACTTACTAATCAATTAAATGGTCGGACATCGGATTGGAATGGGCTCTTTGGCGATAAAACTTCTTCTGAGGCTTAAGATAATGTCTGTGCCCAGGTTTGAACGGCGGTCGCTGAGTACCTTCGCCAGGACTTGTTGAAACGGGTGGTGCTTCTGTTTCCAAAGACATCTTGAAGTCAACTTTGGGTAAATGCAGAGAGATGGTCTTGGGCCGGTTATGAAAAGGATGAAAACATGTAGTACTTTGGCACTTCAATTAGAGAATTAAAAGAGAGGCAAAGATTGACGAGAAAGCAGAAAGCTGAAACCGGGCGGCCGGGCAACGCAACGTGTTTACTGTTTACAAGATAACCTAACCAATTAAATTGACCTAACCTAAAGGGAATACTGCATTACCTCCNCAGACCATCGACAGTGGTAGAAAGTGAGAAACACCTATAAAGAAATCTCATGCTTACTTTTTGGTTTGGCAACATCGTAAAATTCGAGACAGCCTTACATATCTAAACCTCGACCGATCGATTTGGGCACATTGCCAAAGTTTCGATCTCTCGCTCCACCATGTTGGATTTTTGGAGGTAATGCCGTTGTAGGTAATGTCCTGCCCCCAACCTAAAGTGTTGTTGATTTTATTTCGACTCTCGAGAGAAATCGATTTCTGCACAAAACAATCGATTCAATTAAATCGATTTTTAGCACGCGGTTTTACCGCTAAATCGATGTTTCACTCACAAATCGAAATTTTTCGATTATTTATTGACAAAAATTTTACTCCTGAACAGGACGTATGGTAGGTTTCACACTTCCTCTGCTCCTGAATAAATAATGAAGCAAAAACCTGCATTATTTTCGAAAAAAAAGGGGAGCCATCGGCATGAAATTCAACGCTCAGTGAGACGATATTTTTAAAAAAACGAGCGGCACATTACTTTCCCTGATACTTGTATGATACTGATACTTATGGATTTTTTTTTCAAAGCGATTTTCTTGACGATCGATTTCTTTGGCTTGATTTTTCAGACATAGTTGTCATCTTCAATGTAGTCGACTTTTGGGGGAAAATCAACAACACTACTTATTCGACATGACATCTACCATCTCACCACTTTTCTTAGTGTCGTTATAGGCATTTTAAGCTAGCTTGGAGTAAAAAAGACTATAAATTCAAGAAGACAATATCAAACCTGATTTCCGCTATAATTCAATTTTTTGCATTGATTCCTGCACACCTATATACGCTCCCACAAATGCAAAGTGCTGGGGCAGCATTGCTTCTTCCCTGTGTGAGTCCTTAGAAAATACAAATCCTTCTTTTGCGATCAACTTCTAATTCTCTCAATGGGCCCAAGTGAGTCATGAGAGAAAATACAGAAGGTAGTGGCAAACGGAGATATAAGCATCCTATGTCACGGGAAGCAAACACAGAGCTAATGAGAAATGTGGCAGCATAGTATCAGATTGGCGTATGGGACCAGGAATACAACAAGTATTATTGCACAGGGTGGCTGTGGACGAATCATGCATAACACGAATTCAAATGTCTGTGTAATTTTAGGAGGAACTTCTTTCTTTCAAGGCAAAAATGTTCCGTGCGAGAGTGGAAATTCAAAAATTTTGATGGATGCAACTATTGAACAGAATACCTTAAGTTGAACCTAATAAAATCCGGGTTCGTAGAATTTCAATTAAAAGTCTTAATGTTTTAATGAAATAAAGGAGGTTGCTAAAGGAGTGCAAAAACCTACTACTGTAACGCCTTAAAACTAACCCAAGATCCATCACATACATACAGTAATCCCACATCTCCCGAGGAAACCGAATGCAGGGATAACCAATATTCAGCCTGCTTGGCTCATGATCAGCACTTAGAAAATTTAATTTCAAAAGCTCATAGTTTTCAGGAGGTGGCACAGAACAGAATGTAAAATGATGACAAATCTTAGCTCGAGACAACTTCTTTGATTTTCTTTGCAGAATTTTCTTGAAGGGGAGTGGTTTTGTTCAAGTGAAATTAAACATTTATTTTTTAAAGAAACATATTTTTTCCTTAATCCAAGGAGAAAATGGCCAGCAGATCACTTGGATTACATTTTGCAAAAAGGAACCAAGAGCATTCCAATGTTGCTAGGATTGTGTAACACACATTCTTTGCAACAAAATTACTGAAATAATGAAAAAAAATCATATTTACAAGGATAATTTTCCTCTTGAATTCATAGTTTATTGAGGGTGAAGATAAAATTTGTATAGGAGATTAGTTAAGACATGCAGGGTAAAGAAAGTTGCACAATCTTAGCGACATTGGAATGCTCCTGGTTCCTTTTGGCAAAGTGCAATCCACTTTGTTTTGGCTCTGTCAGAGAGCTTGTAATTGCATTTAAGTTGATTCTCAATGGGCTGATAATCGACATTTATGAGCAATTGAAGCAAAAAGAGAAGGGAGCGATCCTGTTGGTGGAAGCAAATGGTTGCAATGGACAAAGGAGGTGAGAACTGAGTAAATAATAGACTGACCAACGGCAACCCACCAAGGACCCTATAGTCCATCATTTTCCTCCTAAGTCTTTAACAGCCATCCGCTTCAACAAATGAAATTTCTCCCATTTTCCTCTCTACTTTTTCGTCTAATCCTTTGTCTATTAATTTCAATAATTAGCCTGAAGCCTATGGCAATTTAAAATTAACCTTCAAGCTGCTCCTTCTCAAGACTAATATTTCTGCATTGTAAATATTCAGCATTAATCGCTCCAGTTTGGATGGATATTGTACAGAGTCCAGTATTAATATAACATTCCTCTTTGCGAATTGAACAGTAAGATTGATTTTCAGTTTTCATGGACTACTCTCTTTTCTGTACATGGTCACGTTAGAGTACTCTTGATTAGGAGTTGAGCTGCTTGTGGGCTTGTATTAGATGCTTTGTTGATGTATTGAAAGAATTATGAGATTTACTGCACAGACCTTGGAGGTGAGGAAAAAATTGCTTTTTAATGTTATTTATAACTGGTTTATTGTAAAAAATAAAAAAGTCAATAATTAATCACGGAGCTTGGCTTTCTGTCGGGCCAACTTTTTCTTCGAAAGTTTTTTCGGTGTCTTGTCCTCTTGTCCTGGCTGAGGTACAAATTCTTGTTGTTCACTTAAAACAACTTCAATGTGACAAGGATGACTCATGTAAGCTGAAAAAAAATGAAGAGAGAGAAATGAAAATAACTTCCACTAAACCTCTGAAGAGTACAGGTGTTGAAACAAATCTTTTCCAGTGAGCTACTAATACAGCTTGTTTTATAATACCAATACATTCTCAAGTAAAGTTTAAGTTTCTATTCTGCGTTTTACCCAACTTCCTTGATGTGCATGAATGAGAGTGTTCTTTTTCTATAAGGGTGTTTTCTAAAATTTCATTTTGGATTTTCCTGATATTTCAAATGAAATATTCTGATGTTTCGAGCGAAAATATTGACTTTTGTTTGATTGGTTACATTATACTTATACAAACATTATACTTGATGAATAGAATCAAATGTTTCAATAATGCACATGCTGACTGCATGTAGTTGAAAAATGCTTGACACGATTGAAATTTCCTAACCCATGATTGATTTTCCTGGTTTTTGCTGAAAGGAGACTTTCTGGCTATCCTTGGAAATTAGTCATTCCTGAAATAAATATATTGAGTGAGAATGTGCAGGGACTGCAGAGCTCATGAGTAAAATGGAATATGAGTTCAACTTACGGTTGATACGACCATGAGCTCTGTAAGTTCTTCTCCTCAAACATGGAGCTCTGTTGACTTGAATATGGTCAATCCTAAGGCGGTCAACATCGAGGCCTTTCAAATCAGCATTGGCTTCAGCATTCCTCAAAAGTTGAAGGATGTGTTCTGCTGACTTCTGAGGCCATCTACCTTGAACGCACTTCCATGCTTTAGCCTGAAATTAAATGACATGTCACAATATTACTTCGACATAAAATCAAATTTGCTGCACAAGAAATTTAAAGCAAAGGCATAACTGTGGGAGAAAATAGTCTTTAAAAATGAACTTATTATCCAGGATTACCATAGAATTCAGAAAATTTACTTCCCTGACAATTGAGAATATGCTAGATGGCGTAAAAGATGTGATTAACAATAGTTTCCATGCAAATGACAGTGGCAATCCTGAATTCAGCTGTAGAGATGCACCTGCATACAATGCTAAGGGGTTGAACTAACAAGGGGAACTTCCCAAGCTGCCGCCTCCGATCGGGCTGAAAAAATTCGTACGAACTCTTTGGATGAATTTATTTGACCCGTATTTTTTTGTTTTTTCCAATGCCCCCCAGAAACACCCCAAAAAAATTCCGGAAAGTTTTGCTTTGAGCGCTTGAGTCTATATACGCAGTATAGCAGCTCCCGCTTATCGTTAAGTGGTGGCTCTGCGGTAGCGCGCTCGCCCAATGATCCGGCGGGCCCGGGTTCGATTCCCAGGCGCCGCGCCAAATTTTTACGACCGAATTTTATATTCTCACACATTTTCACATCGATTCCCATTTGATACATTAGAACTTAAAACATCATTTAATTTACAACCATCAACGATCAATAACTTCTTCAATTTGAAGTGTAGATTTTTTTTTGGGAGGGGGGGAGGGGTCACGCGCGCGATATTCTCGCCAATCACTGTACTTTCACATTAGCAGACGACCCGCTCCGCCCCCTCACATCGACATATTTCTCCCGATCACCCGTATGAGTCATGATTTTTCCCATCATTATCCAGAAAATGATAATGAAAAATTACTTCGAAAATTCAAATTAAAAATGCTACAATTTTTCATTATCATTTTCTGGATAATGATGGGAAAAATCATGACTCATACGGGTGATCGGGAGAAATATGTCGATGTGAGGGGGCGGAGCGGGTCGTCTGCTAATGTGAAAGTACAGTGATTGGCGAGAATATCGCGCGCGTGACCCCTCCCCCCCTCCCAAAAAAAAATCTACACTTCAAATTGAAGAAGTTATTGATCGTTGATGGTTGTAAATTAAATGGTGTTTTAAGTTCTAATGTATCAAATGGGAATCGATGTGAAAATGTGTGAGAATATAAATTCGGTCGAAAAAATTTGACGCGACGCCCGGGAACCGAACCCGGGCCCGCCGATTCACTGGGCGAGCGCGCTACCGCAGAGCCACCACTTAACGGTAAGAGTGTTGTGCTATACTGCGTATATAGACTCAAGCGCTCAAAGCAAAACTTTCCGGAATTTTTTTGGGGTGTTTCTGGGGGGCATTGGAAAAAACAAAAAAATACGGGTCAAATAAATTCATCCAAAGAGTTCGTACGAATGCTTGGGAAGTTACCCTTGTAAGTTTAGGCAAAGGACTTGAATTCTTTATGCTCATTTTAGACATGAAATATCTGTTTTCGATTTCCCTGTACAGGCAGATAGCTTCATAAATATATCTATGCATTAGATTCCTGTAGGATACTGTCTGACTGGGTTGAATTATACAGACATGCAATTTATGGGACAGGTCTGTTTTCTAGGAAAACTCGATTGATTACTTCGTATCTTTTTAGGACAGATTGTGAGTTCAAGAAAAATGTATATAGAACAAAAAAAATATTGAAAATTTCGCAGAAAACCAATGCTTAAAAGATGAAAACCAAGATAACTTTAAGATTAGGCAGCAAAAATATGTTGGAATGAGGACTACTACAAGTAGCATCCTCGAGAATTTTTCCCACTCTGTTTGATTACGAAGTTCTTTAAGTGACAAAACAAAATCTACCCACTGTCTTGATGTAAACTAATTTTAATTATTTGTTTTCCCTCTTTTTTTCAAATTAATGTATGAGGTCACATGGGGATAACCTTTCCTACCTACCTGACTGTTGCAAAATTCATAAATAACCTTTGATTTTCCTCTAACCGAACGATTAGCAAGGTGAAATTTTCCAGTAAGTAAGAGCTCTTTTTGCCCTAAAACAATTGTTTCTGTTTTGAAAATTTTGATTCAACCAAACATTGGCTGAGCATGTAGAAAATGTGAGGTCATTTCCAGATTCAACAGTATGAAAACTATGTTATCACCCTGTTCGAACGTCAGTGGGGAAAAAAAATGTTCACTCTCACTGTTTAATACAAAAATTACATCCATATGAATCGCATTTTGCAAAACAGGAACCAACGCAATTACAGTGTTGTAAAAAGGTTGCTTCTTCATAATTTTCTAGAAAATATCCTGGAATAGGTAGCAAATAGTTTTTGCCACCAAAAAAATGTTAGTTGTAAAGGAAAATAAGTTTGTAAATTTTAATACTGTGTACTGTGTATGTAAGTACTGAGTATTTTTAAAAGAAAAGAAGAAGTTGCACAATTTTGAAAATACTCTAATTGCACTGGTTCCTTTTTGCAAAATGCGATCCATATAAGGTTTGCATTTGGTGAAGAGATAGACTTTGCTGTCTCACCGAAGAAACTTTAGTGTGTATCCAGGGTGTCTAGCAATTTCCAAAATATAAATGCCCTGTAAATTCCCTGGCAAAAAGAAAAAGTATTCCTAATTTTTGGACACGTTTGCACTGTTTAGATGTAAGTAAGAATTATTTCATGTTTTAGAAAAAAATGTAATAAATGTAGCCAAATATATGGTGCCTAAACTTATGCAAGATATTTTTGCCTCATTATTCAAATTTAAAAGACATCATCAGGAATTCTGGGAGAAACTTTGGTAGAAAACTCCCTAGGAGTAAAATTCGCTTAACAGTTCCTAAAAAATCCGTGTTTTTTGATTTCCCTGATGTTTCCCTGACGACAAAATGGCTTGCAAAATGAAATTCCCTGACATTTCCCAGTTCTACTGGTCACTAGACACCCTGGTAATAGAGAGAGCTGGAAAAATTCTTGTAGATTAGGCTATGGGTGTGTATTTTTACCCATTGATAACTACATACTGATTCTGAAAATTATCTCAAATTTCACCCATCATATGCTGAATTTAGAGAAAATGGAATTTTCGCCAGAAAATCAGTTTTCAAAGGAAAATTCAGGCATGATTAAATTTTTTTTACATTCTTAGACAGTCTGTTCTTACCTGCGCACATCGTCCAATACCACCAGTGAAACGTCTGAAAGGTACACACTCCTTCTTCTCTTTCACATTTTTCAGGTAGCGGATGGCCCTGCGCAATAACATGTACTGGATATTTTTGGCTGTTTCTCGTGTGTTCTAGAAGAAAAAAATACAAAGATAAACGTACAGAATAGCAAACATAATACAAGTAGTATGGCATATCCCACCTTATTCTTCATCTCTCTTTGTATTCTAAGCAGAAATCTTTATAATTTAAGAGAAATTAGGGTTCTGAGGGCTTCGATTATGCTCTCAAATTGCACTCAACTTAGGTGATATTAACGACTGCTCAGTTTAAAAGTAATTTACTTATGTGTCAGACTCAATAGGAGTTACCTTATTCGTAACTACTCTACGACTGTTGACTTATTACAGAGACAGAACAACTCAAAAGGTGCAGAATGATATAAAGGATAACACATTGAAAGGGACCATTTGAACGAAGGAGTGTCCTGACAGTAAGAAATGCAGCCTTGATGGTTTTGACTTTGTGATATTAAAAGGCTTTGGGTGGATCCTGCAGCAGATCAGGTGTGCAACAATTGCTCAACAACCATGATGAACCAGGTACAGCCCCATCCTAATGCAGACATGATAGGAAAGCTGCCAAAAATGTGGTAACGGCATGATCTTAATCTCTTTATTCATTCAAATGTTGCATGTTTTGAGTAATAGGTCCTGCAGGACCTTAATGTCACTACCTTGTTGACATGACTGCTACCGTGCTAAGGAAGAACGTTATATGAATCCAAGGGCATTACAAAATTTCCTTGGATAAAGTATGAATTTATTGAGAAAGTTTGAGATTTTTTTCTTCCCATTCTTCAGAAAAAGTTGTTTGTAATTAAATCTAAAATAAGTGGCTGGATATTTCAACGAAAGACATGCATGAACTTCTTCCAAAAAAGTATTTTATCAGGGGATGTTTAGCAACATTCAAAAGTTCATGGGACATTTTTTCTTGGCATAACAGTGCACTTGTTGTCAATATTAAGGGGGTTAGCAACGATCTGAGGTCAACTTCTTGCTGTTCCTCTGTCTTGCCCAATCCGTTGACATTAAAGCAGTTGAGAATTCAGGGTCAAGTTCACACTAATGTAAAAACAAAACTAGAAGTACTTACTTTGAAATGTACTCTCAGGTTGTAACCTCTTGCCTTGCAGGATCTGGCAACATTTTCTGGCTCGTAGGAGTACCGCCCCATGATTGAACTGGAATCAAGATAAAGCAATAAGTAAATTTAAGCGTAGTGATAATTCGAACAGTTGTACATTTTCACTAATTTCCTGCCAGACTAGAGGTTTAAAAAAGATTCTCAATGAACAGATGAAGATGATCAAGCTTTTGTTCTTCCATACTGACGAAAACTTTCAATGAAACAAAGCTTCGATTAGATTGGCTCATACAAAAACGTCCAATGTCTAAAAAAACCCTAAGTTTAGGTGAGTAAATTGTAAAGAGACAGTGACGGCCTTTAAATCAGCACTTATCTGAAAATCAGAGGGTGACTAGTTCTATTGGAGAATTCTAGGAAGGATATAAGAACAGCTCCTTTCTCAGATCCTACTGGAAGCAGTGTAATTTAAAAAAAAAAAGGCCATTAGACAACAGACGTATTCGCGTGAGAGGCACAAGTCAGCTTCAGAAAAAATTAATTTTATGCACGAAATTGATTTAACACACATAACAGAGCTGATGCAGCTCTTCGTTAATCAAATGAATATTACTTCAGGATTTTTCAAGGCTCTACGAAGACATAAATGACCATGGAGAATGAAAATTGAGGGAGTATCACGAGAAGCATCATCAAGACTGCTCAGAATGCATGACATTGTTCAAAATCAAACACAGATTGATGAATTCAATGATGAAGCACCTAGAACTTGATCTGAGGGGGAAAATTCTATGAAAGCAGAGAAAAACAAAACGGGAGCTTGAGCAATAGATTTAAAAAAATCAGAGCAGAAATATTTAAAATGAGCTCCTTCGGTAATGGGACTTACTTACTTAATGGTCCGTAAAATGATAAAAAATTAAATTTCATTCATAATATGGTAAAACTTTCGGAGCTATCGATAACTATATAATGATACAGGATGTTCCAAAAACATTCCTCATGTGAATATAGGGTTGCCTTAATCACACAATATGTAGTTCAGGATTACTAGACAAAAAGTATTCATGAAACCGGAGGGATTTGGGTAGAAATGGATTGCAAGGACATATTTCTGTCATGCAAAAATAAGCGACAGAGAAAAAGATGGTGAGCACAGGATGGAATGAGCTCTGCAGTCCGCAGCAGGCAGCACCCGCACTCCCCTTCTTTCCACATGACGCTTGATTCCGTTTAGCAAAGATATGTCCATTTAAACTTTTCCTGCATTCTCACAAAGGTTCAGCTGAACAGGCAAGCACAACTAGGCTTCATTTAAATTAAGCTACAAGTAAGTGCAGTATAGTCTGCGTAGCATGTGTTCGCAAATCGCACATCGGATAGGGTTAGATTTTGGTGGTAGGATGGTTCCTTAGTCGTTCATGATGGAGAGGGAAAACAAAGCCCGTTAATCATCAATGGGAGCGTGAAATTAAGAGTGGAGACTAAATCCCAATTTCGTGGATCCAGTTTGGTACGGAAACCGACATTTGTATGGAAGTACATGCTATGTGTCAAAGTCAGTGGCCGGGACCTAACCTCCCAGGGGTATACACTTTAATCAAAGGCAGCTGGAGAAATACACACCAGACAATGCACATTAAATATTTCTATTTAACAATACAATGTAGATAGAGAAATTAATGAATGGAGTTCGTTGCAATATTTGTCGGGAGTACTTAAAAGAAAGGAAACATGACCAGTGCCAGAGCTTGGTTCCAAGAGGCCGTGTTCGAACCAAAAGTTTTACCTTCGTGCAGATTTTGGGCAGATAATTGAGAAGCTAGCTACGAAAACAAAATTATTTTCACTAACACAACATAAATTCAATTACACTTAGAATATTGAAATAAAATAAATACCCACGTGTAAGGGAGAGCCTACGTTGATGAAAAAGTTATGGACGATACGGTCCACTTTCTGGAATTCCGCACCGGATTGGAATCTTGGCATTTCGACCCACTTGAACGCTTTTGCCTCGTTCCCAAGTCAAAGATAGGAACTTGAATGTTGAACCATCTTTCCCGCGCCCGCGGTATGTTTCCAGTTTCAAATTGACGGACTTTTTACTTACTTACGTACTTGTCTAATTGTAAGTAAATACTATTCAATTAAATACTTACGCTTAGCTTGAATGACTCACGATTAAACTTCATTACTTTTCTTAAGCATTTTATGTACATATCGACGGCTAAAGTGCAAAACCATGTATCCCTCTTGCGGTGTTTCGAAATTTCTTCTCCTATTTTTCTAATTTTTCAAAAAGAAATTAAATTTCGATGTCAAATCTATTTTAACGATGATTTAAATTGGAATTTTTATTTTACTTATCAGTTCATGTATGCACTCACTTCGCTCCTCAGCCACCAACGGTTCCGTGGTGTAGTGGTTATCACATCTGCTTTACACGCAGAAGGTCGCCAGTTCGATCCTGGCCGGAATCACTAAATTTTAATCGACGTCTCATCGATCGGAGACGACATGAGTTGCTGACTGGTATATGGTGTGCTTCCGTATCCAGTTTTACACGTTAGGAAAAAATGAAGTAACAATCATGATTAAGTCAAACGAATAAGCTAAACGGAGTTGTATTTTTGTCTAGCCGTCATATTGCCCTGTTGCCGTTGTTACTATTAAGTTGTGCTGCACACTGTAGAGTACCTTTCTAGCACACTGCAGCGCAAAAATGGGTCGTGTTTCCATCCAGGCCCGTCACATCCCATCTCGGGCCCCGGTAACAGTTTTAAGGCCTGGGCCCCAAGCACGGGGNGGGGGGGGGGGGGGGGGGGGGGGTGGTGTGTCCGAGGGGAATCCCCCGAGAAATTTTTTAAATTTATAAATCTATTCGGATGCACTTTGAAGCTTCCATGACGAAGTTGTCCATCAATTTCTGCGGAATAATTACGCTTTTTGTTTCTACTTTCAGCACAAAATACTTGCGAATTGTTGCATTCAAAACATCTGGAAAATTGTTATTTTTTTTGGGGGGGGGGGCATATGATACTATTTTCAGTTCTAAGAGGGCCCGGCCCCCCTGGACTCCCCCTCCGTTTGTCTATGGCAAGGGAGTTGAGCCATGAGCCATATTGAAGTCGAGGATGCCCAGACTGGAGACTCTTAGCATCTGACGACGGAAGAAAATGAAACGCAGTTACTAAAAATATCCCTCTGTACTGAAAATCTTGAAAATAGATAGAAATTTTCCAAGAAGTATACTTCTTTGAAAATTTAAGAAGAATTCTACAGTGCCTCAGCGTGTTCCTGAAAATCTATTCACCTTTTGCGAAATTTTTAGGGTAAATTTTTCACTTTTTCTTACGAAACAAGGGTTGCATGTGAATTCGTAGTGGTTTTTCACGGGTAACACGGGCCCCCACCGGGGCCCAGGCCCCGGTACCAGGAGCCCAGTATCCCCCCCTTGTGGTAGGCCTGCCTTCATGCACGCTGGGCTTGTCGATTTCTTTTGACATTTCAGTGGTGATTGCAAAGCTGAAGTGCGCTCCGCTACTTCTTTGAAAAATTAAGAAGAATTCTACAGTGCCCTAGCGTGTTTCTGAAAATCTATTCACCTTTTGCGAAATTTTTAGGGTAAATTTTTCACTTTTTCTTACGAAACAAGGGTTGCATGTGAATTCGTAGTGGTCTTTCACGGGTAACACGGGCCCCCTACGGGGCCCGAGCCCCGGTACCAGGGACCCAGTGTCCCCCCCCCCCTTGTGGCGGGCCTGGGTGTACGATCCGAGTTTTACGAACGCGCAACTCTTCAATGGGTCAGTCTACCCTTTATTTGATCTGTCTTAAAACTATTTGCCAATACCTATCTCGTTCAAGAGTCGATTTCCGTGATTTCCTTTGTATTATTCGTTCTTTATGTAAAATTGAACAGAGTTCATATGAAGCTAATTTCTAGATTAGACCCTGTCTAGTGGTCAATTCGCGATCGCGAGCCAAGGCTCTGAGTCGAGAGCGAGACTAGAGATCGAGTTATACCCACAGTTTTACAGGCATTTCTCGCGATTGTTTTTTGCGCAAAGTTCCGAGTTGCGAAATTCTTTTTCCGGAAGATGAGGTCCCTTTTCACAGATTCGGTCGTGATTATGAAGCAAAAGAACTTATGCAAAGCTTTTACGCGTATCTACAACATTAAAAAAGAGCTTGGTCTCTTTTCCGCTGACTCAGAGATTTTCACGTAGAGTAGAAAATTGAGAGAGGGCGAAACGCGTGGTACACCTATTTCGTCTTTTATGTAGAGAAAATTGCGTATCCACGAAATGAAGGAAACTGTAAACTGTTTCCGGTTCGCTTAGAGCCTTTATTGTATAGAGTAGAAAAGTTAGATCTGGCGAAACGCGCGATACAACTATTTTGACTTTCAAGAAGATAATATTGTGCATCCACAAAATGAGGGAAAATACGGTGTTCTTTATCATTCCAACTATTCGGATCGTCAAACCCAACTTTCAGTTCGTGTAGCCGAACGTTCGGTTCGTATAATCGAACTTATAGGTTCAAAATACTAATGAAAGAAGTTTGGTTACATGAATTAAAAAAATTGGCTTTATTCTTAGGAATGAGCGTTTAGCGCACTAATTTTTACAAAAACTCACGACAAAAGTGTTAATTTTTTTGTGAACATCAGTGCGAACGGATTGTTTATTTTTTTAAACATTATAGTACGAAAGCGTTGTGTTTTCGATAAGCACTGCGTAAATGTAATATTTTTTAGAAAATAACCACTATCGACTATCGTATTTAACCACTAATAACGTATTTTATCCGTGTTTCTATTTAAGTTTACAGCACTGAAGAATATGATCTTAAACTTCCATAGTTTCATGATACGGCCAAGAAATCTTTTGTCTGCTCACCCGCAATCCTCTTCGGCACTAATAAAAATGCGTAATAGAGAATTTGCAGGTATCTGAAATTTGATGAATTTCGTGTTTAAGTGGAAACTACTGAGTAAACTGAACACGAGGATACCCTTGGTTCACGAATTGAATAATTATGACAAAAGGATCTAATCTGCTAAAATACGTGTGTTTAAATGGGAAATACCGCCAGATGACGTCACTAGGCGGCGCATTTTCTCACTTTTAATCTATATTTATACTATTCCTCATATCAGAAATTTTTTTTTAAAAAATACTGTGAAATCAGCTCTTCAAGCACTTTCAGATGATGCAATAAAAAATTTGCATGCAAATTCTGCATAGCGATTGCGGTATTCAGACCCATCGTCCGTCCTACCAGCGTTTTGGGCCAGTCCTTTCATGCAGGGTCTAGGATGCCGTCCTGTTTCTCGCTCTCCAACTAATAATTTTTTCTTGCACATTAAGACTTCCTTTATTTATCTAATTTTTACGCAGGAACGGTCCGGCCAGGTATGCTTTCCACAGAGTACTTTAGAATCATAATGTAATTGGGAGGGCTGGCGCTATGTTCTGGTCGACGAGTTCCGAGCCCGGTGTCCTTCGAGCTTGGTCACTTTTTCGATACATGTTCGATTCAAAATGGCGGCGTGGAATACGTAGTAATTCCTATCTTCTTTGCTTACATCGGATGGCCGGGTGCCCGTTATCGAAAACAATCGATTATGTATCGAAAAAGTGACCCGGCGCGGCGTCACACTGGAGTCTCGGAATTCGGGACCTGGAAAATTTTTAAAGGTGGCGCCAGCTCTCCCACTTACGTTACGACTCTATGTACTCTATAGTGCTTTCAGCACCCCTAAAATTGTGACGAGTGGCTCGATCAGTGGCGTGGCGTTCATGTAAGCAAGGGAAGCACTGCTTTGTCTGCCTTTTTTAATGGATAATGAAAAGCTGGTTGTTTCCTGAGTGCTGGTAATTTAAAAGATGGGACAGCCAACAGGGTTCAGACAAATTTTTGTTTAAAAAAACCCGAAAATTTAGTCATTTTGCCCAAGCTAGTCTCCGAGAATACCGTCAGAAAATCATGAGCTCCCGACTCACTTTTTCTTCTCAATGTGTAGAGGTTATCGGATTATTGGTGTCATAAGATTAGTGAAAAATGCATAGCCCTATACTGCCATATGCCAAAGAAGAACGCCGTATAAATATTCGAGAGTTGCTAAATTTTCCTGAATAAAACATGTATTTTTGAGGAAAACTATGCATATTTTTCATTGAAATTTTCAGATACTTTAAATTGAATTTTGAAAAGAAATATATTAAATTTTCTTAGTATTTTTTTTCATTGAAGGAAATTTGGCGAAGTTTGAAGGCTCATACAGTGTCATTTTTTGGAATGGCAGAGTAGTTTAAAGGGAGTGTCGGGACTCACCCACAAAGAACATCCTCAAATTAAGGAAAACATTGCAGGACAACAATTGAGCAGGAACATCGACGATATTTGTTAGTGCGTTAACTAGGATTTTATGCGAGGAAATTTAGGCTGGCCTCTGGGATTGTTCTTAGGATATTTTGCAATTAAACTTTAGAAGTACTTTTCCACAAGAAGGAAAAACTCAAAATAAGGACGGCTCGTTAAGGTATACGAAAGGAAGCTCTAGAAATCTTGCTCAGATGCCCACTTTTTTTGCGATTTCGAGGACCTTCAAAGTTGAAATAGATTGAAACAGTCGATGCATTTTTTGGAAAATTGACAATAAGGCAATAAAAACCGGTAATTCTTTACTCCATCGGCACAATATGCAACGTTGAAATTAAGTCAAGGTGTAAGAAAAACAAGGCTACCACCCTCAGTTAGTATTGCATGCGAAGAACACTAAATACATTTAATTGTAACGTTTGGATGCAACTATTCGAACTCGACAAATGTCCGTGTTGCATACGCACGGGAGTGAAGGCGTTTTATTTCTTTCAACAGGGCCGAATTAAGGGAGTGGCCACATGGGCCGCGGCCCATGGCGG